AACATCTCAGTTAGATATTTTTGTTTTGATCATGGAAGCCTTCAAGATTCAAATACTTGCTTGATATGTATTTCATTCCTTATTCTCGGGATGGATAACTTGTTTTTGAATAATCACGGCAAGCAATATTTTTTTCGTCTCAAACAACGATATTGTTTAGCTTCATTTGATTATCAAGTCAAACACAGTGTAGTATATATGGAGAGGAATAAATAATCACTATTATCATTGTTGATATGCTCACTAACCTAACATTTTCCACGTCTTGTTCCTATTGCTGGCACTGGCGCTGTATTTGCCATTAGAGCACCTGGTCCATACACAAATATGTCACTCTGTGGTTGTATTTATATCGAAACTACAATTCGAACATCCTAGAAAACCTAACCTGCTGTTAATGCAGGTAGAATATTCTCACCACATGGATTATTTGTCAATATTTGTTGCATATGGCACGGCATTGGTGGTTACTTCACACGTTTATTTGAGTTAATTGTTTCGGTTGCAGAAAAAATAGCATGTTTCATTCGGATCAAAAGTGACTTTGTTCGACTCGCTCGGCTTCGCTAAACGCTCCGCCTCGCAAATGCAAAATTCGCTTGTCAAACAAAGTGTCACTTTTGATCCTAATAAAACAATCTACTATTCTCAATACATCTCCATTGCACCAGTTATTAAAAAAAGACAATGAATTTTTCTGGACGGTGGAACAGGAGAAAGCCTTTGATAACATGAAAAAACTGTTAACCACAAGTCCGATTTTGCAATTTTTCAAGCCAAATGGAGAGATTACTGTGTCAGTAGACAGTTCAAAAACCGGACTTGGTGTAACACTACTTCAAAACAACTTATCTGTTGCATGTGCGTCGAAGTCACTGACAGAAACACAGGTGCACTATGCACAGATAGAAAAAGAGCTTCTAGCTATATGTTTCGTAATGTCAAAATTTTATGAATTTATATATGGTCAGAAGGTACGTAAGTGTAGAGACAGATCATCAGCCATTATTGGCGATATTTAAAAAACCACTGGACAACTGCCCTGCCAGCCTACCAGACTCCAAAGAGTGCTTTTGCAACTGCAGGAGTTTGATTTTGAAGTCAAATTCACGAGAGGCAAAGATTTAATTCTTTCAGGTGCGTTGTCAAGGGCATACCTACCTGATGAGTATAATGTTTTAGAGTCTGAAGTCGAAGATCAAGTATGCTTAATTAGGAGCAATATCAATGCAACAGAAGAAAAAATAACCCAATCAAATAGCGAGACAGAAAAGATGAAGAGCTCCAAGGATTAAAATTAGTTATTAATTAGTAATTAGTAATAAAAAAGTTAAATTAGACTTACAAGTATATTTTCCTTTTAAAAGTGAGCTACATATAATTGATTATTTGATTTTCAAGGGGCAAGCAATTTTGATACCAAAAAGTATGAGAAAGGAAATGTTGGATAGATTGCATTATAGCCATTCTAGCATTGTACCTATAGAAGAGACACGACAAGTGTGAATAAAAGTTATTAATTCTTTGACTATTTATTTATTAAATAAATATGTTAAATCCAAAATATTACACTCATCAGTCATTTCATTGTCTTTTTGTTTTTCAAAATCGGATGATTAATGAATACTGTTTTTAGGTTAATCGAGGAGGTGTTTCATTTTGCTTGATTATTTGGGATTTTGTCTCCTCGTTTTGATAGAATAAAAATATGAGTATTATATTTCAATATATGTATAGTAGGACAAATCAGATGATTTGCACTCGGATTTGCCCCGAAATGTCACTGCGTTTAATAATCGGTTTGAAAAATGTTTCTATCAGAGAGCCTAAAAGAGAAATCCAATCGTTTGTCAGTGAAAATTTGTTTTGAAAAATATTGGGAGAAAAGAATAGAAATATTGAAAAAATATCGAATTTTTACTTATCTTTGGACGTTTCAAGAACGAATCTGCTCCCGTTTTCAACATGAAAATGTAAAATACCATTCTCTGAGAGTTTTTTTTATAGTATGACTCTTCTCAGTGATAGAGTGCTGATGGCATATGAATGATATCCATTCTAACTCAAACAAAGCCGAAAAATGAAGAACAATCATCAAAACATTTTATTTATAGTATAAGTACCTTGTGTTTGTGGAAAGTATTATACAAGTTAATCAAGGAGACCTCTCTCAGTAAGGACGAAAAAACATGTGTCAAAGAGACATATCGACAAATCAAAACTAACTGAACATATCCTTGACCACAACCGAGATAACAACCAAAAGAGAAAAATCGGGACCATCCCGCGATGCACAATTCCCACGATGCCCAATTCCCACGATGCCCAATTCCCACGATGCCCAATTCCCACGGTGCCCAATTCCTACGATGCCCATCCTCATGTCGACCATTACAAAGATTGCCGAAGAGGGCAACGTTGTCAGATTTTGAAAAAAAATCAGAAAACACAAGATTAATTGCACCATTATAAAATGATGAGATAATTCAGGTACACTTCAATATGACCATGTGCGCATGTCATGTATTCAGTATGGCATTTCAAACGAGCAACATGTACTTATGTGTTTTGCTTAGTCGAATTAATAATATTTTCTTAAATTCAACGATCACATGTTGGTATTTTTATTGTTGGATTAAATCTCTAATAAGCTCTATCATAATAATCAATTCAAACTGTTGTCATAAGTATCAAGTTGGCCATGAGAAACATCTAAGGAAATATGATTGTAGTGGTTTTTTTCAATACATTTTCTGTCGTGTTTTCTGTTATTTCGTCATTTGGTATATCGTATAAACTGAGTGAGGTTACAACTTGCGGGGCTTTTGTAACAAGTAACAGTAACATGCATGTGGTTTGACCCTATCTCATTTCTGAGTTTCGTTCCTCGTGTCATCAGTATTTTCATCTCGAATTTTATCGTACAAGAAACAGACGGTGGCTGATTTCAATGAAACACCGAGTGAAACATATTTCCGTTACCTAGATTTCTAGTATTCGATTCAGCCGTTTTCAGACTACCTAATTTTGAAAATTTCTGATTCTATCGCAGTAGCCATGAATATTAAGCATTGATCCGTAGTTAAAAGAGAATGTGGAGAAAATTATGTCAAATATGTACCTACTTTACTTCAATTGCCTGTTTGTACTCACCCAGTACATCGAATGTTATTATTGGAGGTTACTGGGATAAAATCTAATTTTTTCTTGTTAGTTATTCCAAATACGACTGGACCAAATAATACTTTCAACCTGTTTTCGATAATGGACACGAAAAAAAAAATTATCATTAAAAAAATATTTACGTTATCACCATACCACATCTTTCAACTTCAATAGAACGTCTGGCAACATTGCAAATGTCATTGATACTTTTGCTGCTTCTGACCTCGCCGTTCTACTGTTAACCTGTAATCATTGATTTCTAAAAATTCAAGGCAATCTTTAAAGTTCAATATCTTCTAAAATATTTTTTCTCGAAGTGAGACATTTATTTTCTACTTAATCGCTCGTAAACACCCGGTATTTTCCAAAAAGGGAAAGGAAGATCTTTGAATTAGTATGCTTTATTGAAAATTATTGAAGATGATACTTTCTCTCGACATGCTTACCATTCAATATACTAAAATTAGCACAAAAATATTCTGGAATGCATATACAAGGTGATTCTAAAATAGGTGGTCAAACTTTTGGAGCATATAGAGTGGGTGAAATAGTTACGAAAACCTCCGTAACAGTTTCTTCTGAAGTGACCCCCAAGAAAGATATAGCCCCTCAAAGGGGGGCCTCGGAGAATGATTTTGCATTATTATATCCACCTTGTAAAATGAAAATCTGAAATTTTGTCCATCCACTTACTATTCAGTGCCGGTTCGAGTGAAGTTAAAATCACCTAAAAATTAAATACAGGGGTCTGTCAAAATAGGGAAGTAGGGGGGGTAGAAATAACCCCAATTTTTTTGTTCATCGCAATTTCAGTTTTTTGACATGAAATTATGAAATCTCAGGGCTATTTACATAGAAAAAGTGCTCTTGTTGCATCTCGATAAAATGATCCATTAGCGAACAAGAGCTCCTTTTCTATGTTAATAGCCCTGAGATTTCATAGTTCCATGTCAAAAAACTAAAATTGCGATGAACAAAAAAGTTGGGGTTATTTTTACCCGCTACCTCCCTATTTTGACACACCCCTGTATTTAATTTTGAGGTGATTTTAACTCCATTCGAACAGGCTCTGAATAGTAAGTGGATGGACAAAATTTCAGATTTTCATTGTACAAGGTGTTGGAGATAATAATACAAAATCATTCTCCGAGGCACCCCTTTGAGGGGCTGTATCTTTCTTGGGGGTCACTTCAGAAAAAAAATGTACGGAGGCTTTCGTAACTATTTCACCCACTCTATATGCTCCCAAATTTTGACCACCTATTTTAGAATCACCTTGTATATTTCGGTCTCGATGATAATTATTCCTATGGAATTATCCCGAAATATACTAATAGCTCATATTTATTTACTTCTCAAGTCTACTGAGGATGGCAACTTCGTAGGCTTTCACAATATTATTGTTGTATTAGGGCAGAAATAGCAAATTGTATCGTTCAGACCAACTCTGTTTATGGTAAATACTAAGATTTCTGGACGTAATGGATTTTGAAAAAGGAACCGAATACTCGCCTTAAATATGAGAATAGCTTCACTCTTCTTAATAAACACTTAACAAAAACAATCGGTAATTCTAAGTAAACCTGTTGTTTCCTTATCTGCCTAGATTGAATAATTACTCAGTCGCGGAGGTCACAACAACTGACAACTTGATGATAACTTAGGGATTTTTTCACAGTGCCTCTGCAATACAACATGTTCCAAAGCAGTTTTTTTACTGTATTTACATATGCTATCGATTGATTCGTGTTGTTTTTTTCAAGTGCGATTGATTTGATTTTTTATCGGCATGTTTTGCTATGTTGTGTTGTATGAAGTTATTTTTGTTTGTGCAGGCCTCCGAAGAACAATTTAGTGCAAGCTATCCGAATGTGCGCACCATCGCTATCAAAAAGGTACGGCCCGCTTGAGTTTCTTCACCATTTTCACTTTGTTCATGTCTATTGTCACAATGTTCACACGGTCAGGTTGGTAAGTACTGAAAACTCATTTTCAAATGTTCGAATGGATGTTCCCGCTCCCGAAATCTCTGTGGCATATATCGATTACCATTTCCTATTCATGGATAAAATAGTGCAATATAAACAAGTACAAAGTAGGTGAACTTTTTTGGAAAAAAGCTTAACTTGAACATTATACTTTTCAAATCATTTTTACTTCACACTAATCCCATATAATACCGAGTGTCCCGGAACCAATTTACCCCCCTCTATCTTCATTACAATTTTGTATGAATGTCTCAAATTCGGTACATCGATTTGATTTCATGAGTGTATAATTTCGATTGTATATGACACTTCCGGTTTGGCCATCCAATTTTTTTTATTTCAGATACAAAGTATAATTTTTTTAGAAATTATCTGAAATCTACTCATATAATTGAGATTTAATATTAAAATTACTTTCTGTGTTTCCCTCGTAACTTGTAGGAATAGTATATTATGTAACAAGTGTTATAAACGTCCTTTTAGTAACGAGTATTTTAAGCACGAGCGGAGCGAGTGTTTAATAAACAAGGGTCTAGAAGAGTTTATAAACGCGTTACATACTATGCTTTTTCTACGAACTCCGAAAATTACATTAACATAATTGCTATTCCTGCTAACCTACAAAATAATTCGAAAGGAATGGGAATTGAGAACATAATACATGCAACTGCATGTAACCAGCGAGACACGTATAAGTGATATTTTTGAATTCTCCCTGAAGATCTGATTTCAACGACCCATCATATTTAGGGTCTTGCAGTGAAAGTTACTGACATATAGGGTGTGCGAAATCGAGATTTTCCAAGTTCCAGATTTTTTTCTGTCGAAACTGTTCATTATTCGTCAAAACGGTTTACATTTCCCTATCTCAACTTTTCATTCACTATCAATTGGTGTTCAATTGAAATTGATACAAGGTGGGCAAAAAATCCAAATTTATAATTTGTTTTAATTAAATAGCAATGGGGAAGACCACTGAGAGAAGAAATCCGTGCAAACCTCTTCCAATCGACGAATCATGATTTACGTTTGATGTACAATCAATATTATAAGTTAAAGTTGAAGGGAATCGAATCTATATCGTTTTGAAATCAGCATATTTCATTCGATATTTCAAACAGCCAAATATGATGATGGAGTCGTGACGTATTAGTCCCGAACTGTAGCTATCTCTCTCTGATACATCGTCATTCTGCAGTGTTGCAGCGTAATTGGTCATTTCAAGGACAATAGGCGTGTTGGGAATAAGACGTCGCACCAGTCACACCAATGAATTGACAAAATTTCAAATGACGCAGGAATTGTGTGTTTTGAAATGGACATATTCTTATTTATTTTTTCCATCGTCTTAGCATGAATGACAAATTTCAAAATTAATTCGCTGGTAGTTTTTCAGTATAGAGTTCACGATAATGTCATTTTGAAAAATCAGTGGTCTCCCCCATTGAACAGTTGAAAAGTTGAGATAGGGACATTTAAACCGTTTTGACGAATAATGCACAGTTTCGACAAAAAAAATCCTGAATTGAAGTTTGGATGAGAAGCTCGAAGTTAAGAAGTTTAGGGCATTATGTTCCTATGAACTTTGCTTCTTAAAATGAGCTAAGGAACCATATTCTATATTTTTAGCCACCAAATTACACCCTGTATAGTGTGAAAAAAGGAAATTAATTCTCGATTTGAATTTGATTTAATTCCTTTAGTTCAGCTCTGCTTGCTAAAAGATACATTTCGAACATAATTTCAGTTATTATACCTTAAAAATTTTGTGAAACCCTTTTTTTCTCGTAGGAAAAGTTCAAAGTAACATCCAACTCATGGGCGCCAGTAGCATGGTGCAAGGGGATACACTTGAAGGTTCTAATATTTTATTAGTTGAATGTACAGGGTGCGCCTCTTAAAATGGAACCCCTTCTTAACTCTTTTGTTTTTAGAGATGTGAAAAAATGTTGAATGAAAAAGTTGTTTGAAACGACCCAAACTTTTATTTCGTGAAGTTGCTTCACATACAGGGTTATTCGTTTCTCCGGAAAGGACATTAACTTTAATCTTTGGAAGAAGTTCATGGTAACTCGAAGTGGAGTGGTGTAGTTCATAGATGAAAACCCAGACATTCATTAGAATGATCAAAGATCAATCCTGAAGGAACATGTTTCGGGCTTATATAAGCCCCTCATCAGCCAATAGAAAGTATCATAGTTATGGAAATGAAAAAAGTAGACATACAATAGTTATTTATTATACAAGGGAAAAAAGTAGTAGATTTTAGCTCCAGTATTTAATAGTAGGGACACCTGCGTTGTAGGCATCTTTATCATTCTTTTGAAGTAATCAAATAGCTGATGTCACTTCTGTCAGTCTAATTCTGTGATTTGATTTCGAAAAATTGCGAATTCAGTGGTTGTTTAGTAATATACGTAACCGTGAAGTCGAATGGAAGATAAAAGGACTTGCAGTTCTTTCTCGGAGACGGTATTATTGACTCATTTTCCGGAACTATAGCACAACAAAAGCCATCAACAGTGTATATAAATGTGATATATATCTGGGAAAAAAGTAATTTAAGAAAAGTGACATTTTATAACCTGCCAACAGAGATGAAATGCAAAAAATTTTTCCCGTCACAGAAAAAATATTATAGTTAATAACAGGGCAAACAGGGAAATATGCTCCATGATTGTCTCTGTGAAATGATATAAATTTATTATGTTATAAATTTATTGGTCAAGGGTCGGGTTCATATTTTACAAGGGCCCACGTGCCTTGAATTACCGAAAGGTGATAATTAAACTTTTTTTTCACTTCATCGGGTTAATTTTGATGCCTCATCAAACTTTCTAGTTTGATTTTGCTCAGTTTAATTATCACCTTTCGGTAATTCAACATAATAAAATTATATCATTTTAATGTTAAAGAGACAATCATGGAGCATATTTCCCTGTTTGCCCTGTTATTACCTATACTATTTGTTAGTCTACTTTTTCCATTTCCATAACTATTATATTTTCTATTGGGTGATGAGGGGCTTATATAAGCCCGAAACATGTTCCTTTACGATTGATCTCTGATCATTCTAATAAATGTTGTGGAGATGACTGGGTTCTCATCTATGGACATTAACTTTGATTTATTCAATGGAATACTCTATATATTTTCTGACATGTCGATAGAGCCTTTTTTTTTCGGATTTCAAAAATATATATTAGTTGCATATTTAGATCAATAATAATTGAGTTATTGATGATCAAAGTTCACCAAAATACCGCATTTTCCATTCAAACCATCCATTATTTTTTTTATCGAGGTTGAACGATTTCAATTTCATAATAAATAATATCATAACATTTCCATAGAGCTTAAACAATATATGAATATTATTTCAAAGCCTACTATGTTCAACTTACATTAGATGATATGAAGAAGTGAAGGTTCATGAAGCGGTATTTTGGTTAACTTTGATCATCAATAACTCACCTATTTTTCATCGAAATATGCAACTCATATACAGGGTGTTCCTTAATGATAATACTAATATTCAAGGGGTCGATTATTCGACCTATTTCAAGAATTAAACTTCATATGAACGTATCTCGTAAACGTCCTAAGTTTTGAGATACAGGGTGTCAATGTTGAAAATATGCATAGATTCTTTTTTCGTCCACCCTGTATCTTCTCGTGATGGCAAAATTCAGTCTGCTATGTGACAGAATCTGTATGAAAATTTCAAAATGTTGAATGCTGAATGGAGTACTCAGACATCAAAATTTGGAGTTTGGTTTCGTTTATCCGTTTTTTCCTCTAAAACGAAGCGTTCTATCGAGTATAAACAAGAGGATCTTCTTTGTGCATAATTGAATAGCATTTTATAGCATTGTACGAAATTTGAAGGAAATGAAAATTGTCGTACATCAGAATATGCACTTTGATACATAAAAGACGTGTACCAGATTTCATGAAGATGTGTACAATAGTCTCAGTTATTATGGAAAAACTGAATATTTTTCAAAACTTCATCACCCAGTATCTCGAAAGTTAAGACTTTTAGGACGTACGCTCATTTAGAGTTTTCTTCTTGAAATGAGTCTAAGAATCACTCCCTCAAATATTAGCATGCCTTTGAGGAACACCCTGTATAAAGTCTGAAGTCAGAAAAAGGGCTCTATCAACATGTCGGAAATTATATGAATGATGTTCCATTGAAAAAGTCAAAGTTGATGTCCATTCTGGAAAAACGAATGACTGTGTATGAAACAACTTCACGAAATGGAAGTTTTGATCGTTTCAAACAGCTTTTTTATTCACCATGTTTTCATATCACTGGAAACAAAAGAGTTAAGGGATGGTTCCATTTTAAGAGGTGCACCCTGTACAGTGGTTAGAACAAGATGCACCTCCCTGAAAGTAATCCTGGCTGCGCCCATGATTTAACCAAAGTAGAAAATTTCAAGCTACGGACTTGAATTTTCCTTTTCAACAACTTTTCAGAATAACATTCCAGAGTAGGGTATTGGTTACTAAAAATCATTCAGAACATTTCTAAAAATGAAAACAAATACACAGATTAGAAAGTGCATTTTTATTGTTCAGGCATTGGATTTTTGGATTTTGGAAGACAGAGGGTGAGCCCGCTGGGGGCCCTCAATTCACTTAGACCTCTAGGGTGGGTCCATTGTGGTACCTCTGTTGTTTCGTCCCTCATTTCTTCCGAACCGGCCTCAACTGAGTAGACGTTCACCTACCATTCGTATGAGTCCTCCTTGTGCTCTCCCCATCTGCTCTCCCGGCGAGCCTGGATGAGCCCGCCAGAGCCTTCGCTGGTCCAGAGCCCGACTGCTACCCGCTCCTATCGTGAGCTCTCATGCAGGCCCTGCTCCAGAGCCCATTGGTCCAGCGCCGGAGAACGCGCTGGCCCGCATCCGAGCCCGCACGATCCCCCCGCCGAAGCCCAATTGGGCCCCTTTGAGCCGCACAGGCCCATTTGAGCCCACGCAGCTCATCGCCTGAGCCCGCACATGTCTCAACGTTGGAGCGCTCACTAGTCCGGCACCCGAGCCCGCATTTCCCAGCTCTGGGGTCCCTTGGCTTCACGGTACGAGCCCCAAGGAGAGACAAGGGAGCCTCACCTCATGTGTTTTTGTTCATTCCCTGAAGAGATCTATTCCCTCGCAGAAGGTCAGCACTCTATTGATGGGAATGTTTCTTATCTGTTCGGGCTCCAGATATGCTGAGCCTAAGCATTTTCTTCTTCGACGAGCCACTGCGGGACATGCGCAAAGGATGTGGGATGAAGTTTCGTCGTCTTCTTCGCATAGTCGACACATTGGGTCCTCTACCACCCCCATGAGGGCCATGTGTCTCATGAGTCTACAGTGGCCAGTTAGAAATCCAACCATCATAGAGCATTTCCTCCTGTTCAATTGTAAGAGGCTGTGTGATTGACGTTTGCATGGCCCCGCAATATGGAGCCGTGCTTGCCTCATTCCCCCTGCTTCTGCCCAGGATGTCTGGAATTGCCGCCATAGCAGGTCATCCAGGGCTTTTCGGCCGACACATTGGGGGACACCTACTATGGGTTCGGGCCCGATGGGAGGAGTTGAGGCGCCCCGCCTTTTGTTCAGGCATAAACAATTGAATAATGTCAATACATTAGCCAGGAGGCGGAGAGGGGGGACCCCCCCTTGCCCGGCACTGTATGTAAATTCGTGATAGTAAGGGCGTATACCGGGTGACACAGGAGACATGTAACAGCCTGTAGTTTTTTTAGTTGGAGAGATAAACATTTGAAATTCACAAGGATTATTTTATCGATGATGGTGCTTTCCTTGAACTCAATGACAATTTTTTTCAACCACCTGTTTGATTGGAAGTAGACCCAATTTGTTTTTTTAAATAGCACCCTGTATATTTCTATAGTCTATCTTATTCGCCTTGGAATTCTCTATTCAACTTTGTATCGCAATTTGATATTCGTTCATTAATTTGCTGTTAAATTGCATTTTATTGAAATACATGAAGTTGGCTGTGGCCCGAATACAATGACATTTCGATTCTTGATAGGCTTAGAAATCCAAAGATCATCACTTAGACGATATTATCAGAATATTTTCCATGCCCTTATCGATCCCAGAAGATTGCCAATAATTTCATTGAGTTTAAAAAAATCATCCGAAAATAACTCACGATATTAGGACAATAATACATAAATTATTACAACCATTTCAGTTTCATCTGTTCAATTGGATGATCATATTATGGCTACAAGGCAAAAATTGAAGACAAATAGTTTGTCCACAAGTAGCCGAATGAAAAAAACTGAGTTTCTATCTTAGTTTTCTCAATATCGTGAGTTATTTTTGGATGATTTTTGGAATTGATTAGGGAACGGAAAATATTCTTATAATATCGTCTAAGTAATGATCTTTGGTTTTTCTGAGCCTATCAAGCATCGAAATGTCATTGTATATTAGGGCCACAGCCAACTTCATGTATTTCAATAAAATACAATTTATCAGCAAATTAATGAACGAATTTCAAATTGTGATACGTAGTTGAATAGAGAATTTCAAGGCAAATAAGATAAGCTACAGAAATACAGGGTGTAAATATGAAAACTTCCAATGCGAATATCTAGCGAATGAAAAAAGTTAGAAAAACGCCGTTTGGCAAAAATGCTAAAGAGTTAAGGGGAACTAGAACCACCATATTTCGGTCAAGGGATGAGTCACCCCGTCGGCGCGACACACCCCAACTTTGAAATGTCAAATGGCACTACCTTTTTTGTGATGCCTCAAATGAACAGTCCCAGTCAGTAGTATTCACCTGTACAAGACTTTTTTTCCACCCACTACAAGGTGTACGAAAAATATAAAGTCGAATAAAATGAAATGAATTGTGTTAAAAGGATATTTTACTTGATCAGATGTTCAAAATGCATTCCATTCGGTTGTAAGCAATAGTATAATCGATGTTCAAATGCCATTCTAACATTTTGGAACACATCTCTTGGAATATATCGGCATTTTGCATTTTATTTTATTCGACTTTATGTTTTCCGTTCACCCTGTAGTGGGTGGAAAATAAGTCTTGTACAGGTGAATACTACTGACTGAGACCGTTCATTTGAGGTATCACAAAAGAGGTAGTGCCATTTGACATTTCAAAGATGGAGAGTGTGTCGCGCCGACGGGGTGACTCATCCCTTTACTGAAGTATGGTGGTTCTAGTTCCCCCTAACTCTGTAGCATTTGTGCCAAACGGCGTTTTCCTAACTGTTTTATTTAGCGAGATATTCGCATTGAAAGTTTTCAAATTTAGACCCTCGAATTAATATTTTTCGTACACCCTGTAGTGGGTCGAAAAAGAGTCTTGTACAGGTGAATACTACTGACTGAGACCGTTCATTTGAGGTACAAAAGAGGTAGTGCCATTTGACCTCATCCCTTCACTGAAATATGGTGGTTCTAGTTCCCCTTAACTCTTTAGCATTTTTGCCAAGCGGCGTTTTTCTAACTTTTTTATTTCGCGAGATATTCGCATTGAAAGTTTTCAAATTTACACCCTGTATGCATGGTGCCGTTTGCAAAAAAAAAGTTGGATCTACTTCCGATCGAACAGGTGGTGGAAGAACATTGTCATTGGGTTCAAGGGAAGGGCCAGCATCAATAATATAACCCTTGTGAATTTCAAATTTTCATCTCTTCAAATAAAAAAACTACAGGCTGTTACATGTCTCCTGTGTCACCCGGTATACCAAAGAGATTCATCCTGTATACCACTAAATCGAGTGCATATACTGATGTAATTTGTTTAGTGGAAAACTGAATCAGATATTGATTATTGATAGATCGCTTCTATGCCCATACCATATTGGAATAATTATGTACCTAAACGACCAAACGGTTATCGTAGATCCTTGCATACCTAATTAAAATACTCATTATTTACAATCATTATTTATCGAAATAATGTATATGAGTCAGCTAATAGTCTATAAATATAACGAATAATTTATTTCTGGATGAAATGTTCGAACTGATCGACTAAATTCAGGTATCTAGGAAATGTGTGTGTCTTTGATGATATTTCGTTAGTCCTTGAAGCTCAGCAAAATCAACTTGATTTCGTGAATGCGGGTTCCTTACATTTTTGGCGCAAATCCAAGGAATATGAAATGTAGATATTATTTTGATATCAACTCATTCATCAAGTCTATTTAGAGAGTTCAATTCAGATGTTCTTTATATCTTCACACTCACGGAAATCGATTTCACAAATAATCGTAAGATTAAAAAAACACTTCCTGAAAACCGGATATTTTCATCTCATAGTTCGGGTTGGTACCTTCTTCTCTATAATGAAATGGAAAATAGGTCGGGGACATACATTTCCATTTTACTTTTTTCGCAAACCTCTATTTCCCAGATACCTAATATTCTGGTCATAACTCCATCGGTTATATTTTCAATAACCACTCATTAAGTAATACGCATATTCATTATGTAGGTTCATTATTGAGATCTAATATTTTGAACCCCTCATTTTGTAACTAATTCCGAATCCATGTTATTTTTATAGCAAGCTAACCAAAGCCTCGGAATTATGATCATAGAGGGAAAACATGCAGAAGTTGGCCAGGGCATTTTCATCTCAGATATCCAGGAAGGCAGTTCGGCGGAAAAAGTAAGTTAAAGCAGACTTTTATGTTTATTCAATAATGAAGAAATAAACGGAACGCACTTATTTTTCCTATTTTAGAAATTAGGTGGCATTTCTTCGGTTTTCAAGATTTTTGCGATACTAAGAAAAATAATTTTTTTGCATATTCCACATCAAACGATTTAAAAAAAAGGAAGATTCCCCTTTTGATTTCTAATGCCTTGCTTTGCACAAAACGGAATGGTGGATATGAAATAAACTTCATTGTCCTCCAGTGTGGAATTATCTAAAATATATCGAAGATATACTTCTGCTTCAAATGAGGAGCAACCGAGCAAAATGCATTAATTCCAATTTTAACATTTTTTGAAGTGAATATTACTGAAGTAATACATTTTGGTCAATACACAATCCATAATGTTCACTTCGAGCAAAACGCTTCAGATCCATTTAAATTTGCCATATCGGAAATGGAGATTCGAGCAAAATGCGTTAAATCCTATGAATGATTGAACAAACTGGCATAAATCCATCGGCTGGTTGTCACTGAAATGAATCCACAGGAAAGTCTTCTGTGAATGATTTCGTTCTCAAGGAAGTTATCTGTAAATGTTTTCGTTTAGTTGACTAAATTATCTAGAGATGGCCATCTTGATTGATGAAATATTGAGAATTTTTTTTGTCTGAGCAGAATGCAATACATCCAAAAACTGATCGAGCAAAACGGAATAAATCCATTAATATTTGAGCAGAATGCTATAAATCCACACATTGATTGAGCAAACTGGCATAAATCCAACAAAAAAAGTTGAATAAATGCATATATTATACTGTTGAGTTTGGAGAATATCACCATCCAACCTTTCCGAGATTGTTATTCATTTCGATTTGTAACCGGATGAGAATCTGTTTTTGATTATATCTGATTTAAGCAGTTGTTCATCTTTTACTCGAAATCATATATTATGGATTTAAACCGTTTTGCTCAGTTGCTCCTCAAATGCTGTTACAGAGATTTTGAATCACAATCAAAGTATATCAAAAATATTTTTGTAGAAATCGATTTTCATCTTCAATTTTTATGGTACAAAGTTATCCAATTTCATGTGCTGTAAAATACAAAATTATAAGCAGCCCTGTAAATAACTCTTTACAAATTGGCGAGTTTCTTGCACGGGACGTATTGAACCATTATCTGCTCCCAATATTATCGTCTAGTGCAGAAACACATTCAATTTACAATTAGTTATTTTATTATAGTTTACTCGTAGCTCAACATTCGTTTGAAATATTATTTTTACTAGTAAAATTGTATTGTGTGTAGCATTATTCTATTTATATTCAGTTATTAGAAGTCAGTTTTCTACTTCCTTTGAAGTAAATTCTAGGTAAATATTATAAATTTTTTGTTTAGTCACATTTAACCATGCAATAAATATGAATTTGGAACAATTTTGAAATAAACCTGTTAAATTTATTCGTCATCCAGGCTGGACTCGAGATCGGGGAAATGATCTTGGCTGTCAATAAAGATTCTCTTGTGGGCTCCAACTATGATATGGTGAGTACTAAGACAATAATGAAAATAAACTTAACACAATATGGTGTACCCCAGCCCAATTATACAAATCGAGTGAAATAAATCCTGGAGTTTTGGAATTTTGTATGATTGTTTTTTGGTACCAACCAGTGGCGGCTCGTGACTTTCATGACAGAGAAGACTGAATGATATGAGATTTAATGTGAAAAACAACTCTCTACTCACCCAAATCAATAGCTTTAATGATATTCTGTTTACCAGTTAACCTGAACTTAATACTTGGAAAGATGTGTTCCTGTGATTTGCAGTGTCTATCCAATCCGCGAGGCAAATTTTTCAATATCCTAATCGCCCTGAACATGATGACTTATCGGTTGAAAATAATACGCAGTACCAACAGAATAGCTTATTCCTTACCTCAGATTCCGTCAACCAGATATATTTTTTATAATTATCAGAATTGAACGAACGATTTTGTTTGTTACCTGTTACAATCAGATTTTTTAATTCCGGTGTCGGACGTTTGTTTTTCACAATCAATTCATCTTCATAAGACAAAGCACTGAATGGGTTCACCAAAAAGTATTCCACTAAATCGCAATCGTTTAAAACACTCATTTTTCAGAAATTTATAGAGCCCCTAACCATTAACCTAACATAAACATAAACAATGCACTCGCGTTTGTCCGCAATTCGCGAAGCGACACGACAAACACGTGCTATTCGGGCGTATTCGGGCATTTGCATTGCGCGAGTAGGTTGCGCCATGTGAATGAGTCTAGGCTCCTATAGATGTTGCCAAGTTGAATATTTTACGCGTGATTTGCAGACTTCAACGTGTGATGCGTGGGCAAGCACTATTGCTAATTCAAAAATATTTAACTAAAAACAGGAAATAAAATCAAAATCCATGTATTTTGGTGTCCTTTTAATGAGAGAGTATAGATAATATTAGTTCAAGGAAAATCTCTGAGGAGGCTCAGCGTCCGTTGCCTCCTCTGAGGAGCCGCCACTGGTACCAACAGTGCATTATATTCACAATTCTGATTGGTGGGGAGTGAGCGAGGGATCGCATTAAATTATCGAAAGTGATTCCATGAGTCCTGATAGTTTTTTTAATCTTTCACGAATAGTTTTTTATTTGCCAAACATGTGGAAACAAACCGCATTCGTTTGAATGATTTTGCGTCAAATAAAATGAGACTTCTGTAGTAGTCCATACTCAATGTGGAGTGCAATGATCAAGAAAGAAAAACTCTAAGTCATCTCCACAAGTTTTATATTGAATAGATGCAGTCAATTCTGCTTCAATAAGGTTTGATTTGAGACTTGTTTCGGCCATTCAATTGGCCATCATCAGTCAAATTAGTACACAAAAGTGCATCTACAGTATAATGTTCTGTTATGTTTGTTAGTCTTTTTATCCCAATATTATTTTGATAATAATATTAAACTTGTTTGTCAATCTCCTTTATTTATCTATCACCATAACTATCTAACAAAATCTCGTCATTTATTTTATCATTAGCTAACTATAAACACTACATTTTCTCCTCTCTTTCAAATAATGAACATACCAACATCAGTAGTATCAAAAACTTTTCATGAATGAATCAAATACATCACACTACATCGTTATTTTTTTTCAACTATTAATTACATATAAAGTCATCAAGATATGATGGTTTTCTAGCCTGCCTGGCTGGACGGTCAACTCGTGGATATATACCATTATCATCAGATGCGTGAACATTATTTTCACGTTCTATAACTTCATCATGCTGCTGTCTTCCAACTTCTATTCCATTGCCAGCTTCTGCCATCATCTGATTATCAGGGAACAAGCATCTGAACCGAATTTTTTCTTGGCATGGATGACGAGACAAACAGGGAGTGAGGGGTACAGTAGGCACTAATGATTCTGAACCTGGACTTGCTTTGAAAATCTTGAAGAAAGAGGCATTTCTCTCAATTATCTTCTCTCCTAATGTTTGGGAAAATACTTTGTATGTTGATGTTGATATAGGGATAAGTTGTTATGAAAGGTTGTTGTCATACTGACATTAAAAGGATAGAAAGAAAAAAGTTTATGCCCGATTCATTTCCAAAACTACAGATATTCATTTGCCTTTATCAGCCCATATTAGCCATTTATAAGCCAGGTATCAGCCCAGACATTTATAAGCCAAACAGTTAATGTTCTGTTATGTTTGTTAGTCTTTTTATCCCAATATTATTTTGATAATAATATTAAACTTGTTTGTCAATCTCCTTTATTTATCTATCACCATAACTATCTAACAAAATCTCGTCATTTATTTTATCATTAGCTAACTATAAACACTACATACAGTAGAAAAATATACTTAATTTTTACATCTTTCCAAAAAGAAAATGGAGAGAAAGTCACTAAAGTCATAAAACCAAAGTTTAAATTAGTTGACAATATCAGGAATACAAAGAGAACAATTGGTACAAAGTTAATTCAAATGGAATTGAAAAGTTAGAAGTGAACAACATAATCTTATGAAGATAACATGGCGACCGAAAAGAAAAAAAATTAAATCTAAAGTTTCCTCCAATGATCTTATTTTGACAAAAGTTGGTGAAGCCAATGGTCTAGTTATAATTGACAGACATTCTCATATTGATAAAGTTTTCAGCTTCTTGAGTACTGAAGTTTTTTTCAAAATCAACAATAATCCAACTCAGAAATATTTGACTTACTGTTGTGAACAATTCAATAGATACTATTATTTTTCATGGTTATTCAAAATTCAAATTGATTCCAATGAATCTTTCTACCCCTCAGGTTTATGGCCTACCCAAAATCCATGAAACTTCTATTCCAATCCGACCAGTAGTATCTTACATAAATTCTCCAACTGCTAAACTTGCTGCTTCGTTAAATAGTATTAAAACACTCGTTCAAGAGAATTTCTGGTATAACTTTGCCAGAAAACTTATCATGGTATTTCCATTCTAAATTGTTCTAAAATTGTTCTTATCCATAATTCGGTTGCCCCCTTACGAGCAACCCTCAGAAGTATTCAAGAGACTTGTGCGAGCAAGGAATGACTGGGGTCTTACCTTTTAACGTGTGATCCCAAACACTTTCTTAGGCCATCAGAAAAATTTCTGTGGTCGTGGTGGGAATCGAGCCCACCTACCGGCAATCCAACGTGGATAGAACATTGACGCTTTAACCACGGTATCATTTGATATTGTGGATCATCTCGTGAATCTTTTTCCTAGTATTCCCGGTGATGATTGTATTAGTTGTTCTTAATTTACTTTCTGAAAATAATGTGAATTTCCACAGTTGCCTCAATATTTGTTTCCTAGTAAATACAGTCTTCAGCTACAACTTTTTCCATTTCAATAAAGAATTCTAAAGACAGAACAGTGGCTTAGCAATGGGTTCTAATCTTTCCCTCCTGCTAGCCGAAATTGTCATCTTTGATATTGAAAAACGTTCACCTGAGTTTGCCTTGTTCAATAACATTCTTTTTACTACAGATATGTTGATGACACCATAATCTTTTTTAATGGTAACTAGTTTTAGATTTTTTTAACAATCTTCACCCTTCTTTAAAATTTACCATGGAGTTAGAACAACAAAATCTGTCTTTCTTCCTAGGATCTACTGATAACTAAAGATAATGGTAACCTTGATTTTTCAATTGATCGCAAACCTACCCACACTGACTCTGTCATCTCTTATCTAATCAATCTTCTTCCCATAAATCTGCTTCCTTCAATTCCCAGTTTTTTTTTCATTCATATGAACAATAACAATTTCCAGAAAGAGCACAATATTATAAAACAGTTTGGAGCAAACAATAGTTACCCCCAGCATTATCCAAAGAATTTTCGACTATCATAGAATTCAATTTTTGAATCAACAATTACTTTCACAACCCCCTTCCAAGGATAACTTTTCTGCCATCCGTTTCTAGGAAAAGTTTCCACTGATAAAAATATTTTTCATAGGTTCCCCATAAATGTCACTATTTGTTCAAAAACAATCAACAAATTGAAGAAACGTATCAATGATATCAAAGATTCTACCTCCATTTCTGATAAGTCAGGTGTTTACCAGTTATGTTGTTCTCACCCTGGCTGTACAACTAGATATAATGGTTAAACTTCGAAGCGTTTGGATGATATCAATTCCTCTAGTTTCTTTGCAAATCATGTCTTCAATTCCAAACATTCCTTCAACGTGATTCTCACTTATTACATGTTTGTTCAAAAAGTAGGAAATTGAATGTTCTTGAAATCTTTGAAATTAATAAACTGCTCAATAACCCAGATATCATACATACTTAAATGACAAAATTCAATTTGAATGCATCGACTGCAAGTTTTTCTTTCTTTATCAAATAAAATAGTTTGAGTGATGAAAATGAAAAAATGTCGAATTAAACTTGAGCGACGAGTTTGTATTTGGGAAGATTATTTTTTCACGAATTTGTTAAAAAGGCATTAGCAAATTCCTCCAGTCACATGAATTCTATACAGCCTTAGAAAAAGTATAGTGTATAACACACGGAATGCTATTTTCCCACTCTTATGATTTGCAGCATAAGCCGTAGGCGTGGGAAATCACTATTATTCCGTACTCGTTATACAATAATTATACTATTCCAACATCATATCATACCATGTATGATATTTGTAATAACCTCTAAAATTCTGTTCTTTGACGTTGTGTCGTGATATAGAAAGTTCATTAGATACAGGGCTTCAATATGTATACTACAAAAGGGAGAGTCGGAATAATTCAGGCAAACTTAATTTTCAGATTCCTGTCTTCTTAAAAAATGTATCTATCAACGGATGTCCAAAAAAACCTGTCTGGGATACCTAGAGGGTGCTTCTTTTCAATTCTTTCGATATCCAAGAATGTTCAGGTAATTCAAATTCCAATGTTGTATTAAAATAACATCGTTTTAAAATAACATCGTGAGATTATGACATACGTTTTGTCTTCATAATCAAATAAGCAATTGGAAAACAAAGTTTGTCCGTCTGATTTTGACTCACCCTTTTTATGAAATGATGATTATATTCATATAAATAATCAATAAGAAGCTCCTCTGCCCGTTGTATTCTCATTTATTGGTTTTCTCAATTATGCTTTTCTCAAATTTCCTTTCCAATGTTTTAAAGAATATTTATCGTTATTTCCAGTTAGGAGTGGGCACTTTGGCACAAAACACAAAATGCTTGGTTCAGGCATTAATTTATATAGCTAATATATCTTACCCTTTGAATCCATACTTGAATTTAATAAATATTCTGAAAAAACACAATACACTGTGTTACGATAATAAAGTTAACTCATTTTTTAACACCTCTACACGTGCTTTGCTAACTATGTTTACATCTTCAGGAGAAGATTGAACCTAATTATCTGTTCACTGGTCGTGAAATGCACTAATTGCGCAATCAATGTCTCATGGTTGAGTTAACATGCTAATCCTAATAATTCTAAATCACTAAACTTCACATAGGACTAAGTGAAATAGTCTATTCATCTTTATTCATAATTCTTTTACTATCCGTAACTATTTCTAGGCTCTCATATGCATATTTAAATCTTCTGACGATGCTAACGTGATTATCGTGCCAAAGGTTGAACTCGACATCTGTGTTTTCGACTATTTATCAGCTTTATGGAAAATACTCTTGAATGATTCTCAAAAAAAATATTCGAGAATTTGAGTAATTGGAATTGGTGATAATTGTTTTTTCCAGGCTGCCGGTCTGCTCAAGAGAACCGAAGGCCTAGTAACCTTGGTGGTAGCCAATCCCGGTAAAAAAGAACTCTCACCTTCCCCCACCACCTCCCCGGCTGCTGACAATACCATCGTAGAAAACAACCGGAATGCTGTATCTAACACCCTGAAACCCTCAGCACCACCATCCAGATCCACTACACCTGTACCTGGTATGATCATTCTTGTATATATTGTGCAAATCTCCATTGAAATCACCTACCTGTTTGTTTCACTGTGACTATGGACCTCAAAATTACCATAAAATTTGAACCTTTTTGGCCATATAGGGAATTGAAAATAAGTTGCCTGATCATAATAAATTCATCGTCAAATTTGGCAATCCAACTTGGGTTAGCATCAATAGAATTATGCGACTATGGTAATTTGATTTTTTTGTAATAAAAATAGGCTCTTTTCTTTAATGAATAAACCTTCCTCAAAATATATGTAATATTTGATCATTATCAAAACAAGTGTTAACTCATTCATCAAGTATATTTTCGTATTTATTTCTGTTCCTGTGAATAGATAAACTATTATTTGAATATTGCGAAAATCAGATGTTCAATCTTCAACTACAAACTAGTATCTCGGTAACGAGAACTCCATGTGCATTATTTCTTGATTTCTCGTTGCCTACGTCAAAAGTAACTAGATGTTACCATGAGAAGGTAACAATTTCAAAATTAACCTGTATCTGGAAAAGAAAAACTCCAGGAGCATTATTTCTTGATTTCTCGTTACCTACGTCAAAAGTAACTAGATGTTACCATGAGAAGGTAACAATTTCAAAATTAACCTGTATCTGGAAAAGAAAAACTCCAGAAGCATTATTTCTTGATTTCTCGTTACCTACGTCAAAAGTAACTAGATGTTACTATGAGAAGGTAACAATTTCAAAATTAACCTGTATCTGGAAAAGAAAAACTCCAGGAGCATTCTTTCTTGATTTATCGTTACCTACGTCAAAGATTTTGGGTCTAAACGCCGAAACAGATCGGTGGCCATGACGCCGAAATATCTATTTGGACATTCCGCCGAATTTGGTGAAATTTCCGAAAGTACTCTTTGTTTTTCGATTTGTCGCTTTGTACTATAGAAATTAGTAGTAGTAGTAGGTGGGGAAGCTGTAGCCAAGCAAGTAGACCCCGATGGACCCTTTTTGCTAACCCCTGCTCTCCACATATCTACGCTTCCTTCACCTAGATTTCCTTTACGAATCTCCCTGACCTTCTGATGAAGGCCAGTATGTCCGTCCACTCTAATATAATCAAGTCCTCCTGTTGAAGTTTGACTACTCCAAATATTTCAAATCTCAGCCTTCCGTACGCCTCGCACTCGCCGAGGAAATGGAGTGACGTTTCCTCGTCTTCCCCGCATCTGCGGCAAGTGGGGTTGTCCTCTATTCCCATAAGTGATAGGTGTCTGCCTAGCCTGTTGTGTCCTGTGAGTACTCCTATGAGGAGGCGAAGTACTTGGCGGTCTCTGCCAAGCAGCCACTCCTTCCTTGATTTGCTTGGACCGGCCATGAATTCCTTGGCTGACGTAATTTGGCTCCTTGATATACCTAGTACAGGCTCCGGTCCCAGAAACGGCTCCGCGGATCCGGCCCTAGCAAGTTCGTCTGCTGTTTCGTTTCCGGGCACCCCACTGTGACCCGGGACCCATACCAGTTCAACTTCCTTTGATTCTGCTAATATTTCTAGGGCATTTCCACATTCCTGTACCAATGCTGAGCTTGGTCTGGGATGACAGATTGCCTTGAGTGCTGCCTGACTGTCCGAACAGATGTAGATCTTCTGCTCTGGTCCCTAGAAATTTAGAATAGTATATTACACACCGAGGTGGGAAGTGATTCATTCCTGACGTGAGATTAGTTAGTAAACCGAGAGGCAAAGCGTCGAGGTTAGCTATAATCTCGGTTTGTATACTATTTTATTCTTTCGTTCTGAACATATCTGAAATATTACATAATTGAGGGCGGGAAGTATAGGTGTGTAATATGACACTTCCCAACCTTCAACGACGTTAGTTATGACAACATTACATAGATGGTTGTAAATAAAATATCAAAACCAAATATTTGCTCCTGACTGAACCTATTGAGGGAAACGAAATATAATGCTAGAACAGTTATAATTTTGTTTCAAAACATTCTTATTTAATACATGTATATATACATGATAACGTTTTGTTTTTTTTTCTTTGAGTTTGTTTAATTTTATTTTGTTCCTCTCAATAGGTTCAGTCACGTATTAGGAATGATTGTTTAGAAATAGTAGTCTCCTTCCTTATGCAAAAATGATAATTTCCGAAATATATGCTTTCTAGAAAGAAAGTTCATTTAGGCCGAGTTAGGTCAGATAGTTTGGAAATAGTAGTCTCTCTTGCTCTCTAAGGTAATTTTTTCAATAATATTTCTCAAGTACGAAGCAAGATAGATAAAATAAATCTAAAGAATTATTTTGTCAATTTCACTACTTTCGGCGAAATGCCCAATTAACTGTTTCGGCGTTTTGACCACTTTCAGCGAAATGTCCAAATAGCGCTACGGCGTCGAGACCACTTTCGGTAACTGACGTTTTTTGGCATAATGACCACTTTTGGCAAAATGTCCACCTATCTCTTTCGGCATTTTGACCGAGGCGACCCTGACAAATGCCTCATAATTGCATGTCAAATTTCTCAAGCATGTAAGTTTGAAATTATCTCTTGCACTATCAATGTCTTAGTGATATCAGGTGATATCATGGCTGAAAACCGCATTTCAATGTCTATTTATCCTTCCATAGTTGAGCATTTTCGAAAAGTAGCTGACCTTTGTTTCCCGTCGAAAATTATTTATTTTTATGAAAACAATAATTGATGAGAATTGGCCCTCAGGCACTCAAATTAGTCTATCTAGATTCCATGTGCAATCTGTATATTATGTTAATTTTATTATAGCAGTTGAAATTGAAAATTAATTCAGATTTTGGTTTTTACCTACTCATGAAATATTTTTTTCAGAACCAGTAGCTGATCCTGCAATATGTCCTGTGATTCCTGGAAGAGATGTCACAATAGAAATTATAACAGAAAATAAGGGATTAGGAATATTTTTCATTGGCGGCAAAGACACCCAAATTCCAGTACGTATTATTGGTGGAACAGTAATTTGTCCTTTTGGTTCATTTAATGTTATTCTTTGAAGTCCTTTCTGTATTGCTTAACGTTAAAATTGTTTATCCAAATACATGATAATAAATCTTCTTGATATTAATTTACTCATTAACTCAGTCGATTGAGATTCTTCATTATTTTTCGCAGAATGGAATAGTGATAGTGGAAGTATATCCAGGTGGAATGGTAGACAAGGATAAGAGGATACAACCTGGTGATCAGCTTTTAGAAATCAACGGAGCATCATTGAAAGACGTTTCTTCTACAACTGCTTCACAGGCTATGAGACAAACACTGCCAAAGGTAATGATTTATGAACATATCATTTTTGTTTCCACTTGGGGGATCATTGAACAGTAATATTATGAAATTGACAAATCATTGTTCGTGTCATTTACCAAATATAATTTTTTCTATGCACACCTCATATCAAATTTTTTTATGCAGGGTATTAAATAAGGTTTTAGATGCCTAATAATTGAGGAGTTCAAAGCTGAAGTGGGCCAAATCCATAATAGCGATGTTTTTGTTCATAATATTCTCGAATAGTTATTTATGTACCAAGGACGAAACACTGTCTATTATAGTTGAGTATGCGAATTGATAGCCGAGGTTAGCAATCAGGCTAGACAATAGACAGTTTATCGCCTAGGTGCATATCACATTTTTTCGTCGACCTTAAACACTATTCACATCACGGTCCTATTCACACGTGAAATCTATCGGATTTCGTGAATAATCAATTTGACAACAGTAAATGACAGTTGTTGGCAACTCACTCTCCGCGCGAACCAGGATTGCCAGTTCAATTTTTATTCCATCAGTAAATAACTTGTCACAAATTTAGTAGATTTCAATAGATCTGTTTAAGATCCATTTTATGCTATACGAATTCTAAGAAAGTATAATGAAATACACCAATGACGTCAAAACATTATGTACTTTTAGTCAACAGAAAAGTAACCTATTTCCTACAAATAGAAACAAACAAAACAAACATTCTCACACGAAAATAATAGAGCAGTTCAGCTAGAGTTGAGAGAGAAAAAAAATGTCTTCCCCATATGTCCTTGCCTTCAGTGTTCCAACATAAATTAATAAAAATTGTATTTTTATAGCTGTATATGGAGAGGACTTATTTATGGTGGAAATTATTTCGTAGCATCAGCAACTAAGTCTAAGATACATTGTATACAAATTGTTTGTATGAGATTGTGAGTTATAGAAAATTTCAATCCTACCGGTGATAACCTCCACCCGAGCCATTCAACTGCATGTGGTTTATTTTCCGACGAGTTTGTCGAGTCACTTTTTGGGTCGCATGGTGTATACACTATTATTTACACTTTCTGAAAGGTTGTCACTGGAATTGGTATCCTGTCAGTATAAAAATTTGATATGACAAGTACCTGATTGTTGGTGAATTCAGCCAGTTTGCTCTGAAACAATGAAGGAACATAGCAACGGTTCACTTTAGTCTGTTTTGGGGGACTAACCGACATAATTCAGTCCTGGAATTGCAACATTATATACCACAGGACTAAAGTAACCCATTTATTCCCGCGAGTCGTTTGTTTCCCGAAAGCTTTATTTGTATTGAAACACAATATTAGTAATAAAGATTTATTACCTCATGATTCCAACAAGAATCTCATAATCATCTTAGGCTAAATATAATACCGCCAAAAACAGTCCCTGTCATCCATCACTGTGCACATCATGTGTCATGATGTGAATATTCATAATCGGCGGTGGCTGTGTTGTCGGTCACGGGTGAGTAACATTGTAGAAAACTCCACAGGAACCAAGTCCAACATGAGGGAAGAATATCATTTTCAAAGCTAGTACTCCTTCATACGTGGACAAGGTTCACTTCAGCTTCGATCCCATCATATGGCAATATCACATTACAACCTTTACCTTTGAAAACTGGCGCAGTTAGAAGTGAAAATAGTAGAGAAAAACAATTCAAAAATTATGGAAAGTTAGTTCAAAGTGTGTAATAACGTGTAGTGATCAGTCACTCGTGAAGGCAAAAGCTAAATTGCTGAGAAAACCGAAGTAAATAGTACTTTGCACGTGGAAATTCGAGGTCAAACTGGTAATACAGTCGACCACGTTGCCAAGCCTACAATAAAGACGAGGATCCAAGAAATCCTCACGCTACAATGGTAACCAACTGTGATATCTGTAGAAAAAGTTGCAATAACTGCTACGCAATATCATGTCACAAGTGCAAAAAGTGGTATCACACACAATGTGTGAATATCACGATGCCAGAATTCAAAAACTATGAAAAGCAACTCAAAATCGCAGATGGAGAGAGATGGTATTGTCGAACATGTCCCAAAATTATAGGCGTCGAAACTACCAAAACTAACGCACCCACGGCAACACCAAGTATGAGAAAAAAGAATGAAACCAACGGAGGTGATGAAACTGGACAATACACACTAAAAGATGTGATGGAAAAATTACATATAATGGACATAAGACAATGTGATCTTTTGGAAAAATATCAAGAACAAATAAAAATCAATGATGACCTAAAAACGGAAATAGCAACAATCAAGAACCAACTACATAAAGAAGTCAACAAAAATGAACAAAAATCATTAGATAATAATGTAATCATCACAGGCATACCAAAACAAAACCCAAACGAAGATTTGGGCACAATAATGAATACCATTTACAACAAACTGAATATAAACATAAAGGAAACTGAAGTTTTCAGGATAGGGAAAATGGAGAAGGAAAACCAACTGATTAAAGTATGCTTTGAGAATAAAAGGGATAAAGAAAAATTAATGCAAACGAAGAATAAGAGAAAAATCACCACATCCAGCCTTGAAATAGATGACAAGAATAACATTATATATTTTAACCATGACCTAACAAAGTATAACCAATATTTATACATGTTAGCAAGAAAATATAAACAAGAAAACAACTTCAAGTTCGTATGGTGTGCTGAAGGCAAAATATTTCTGAAGAAAGATGAAACCAGCAAAACAAAACGAATTGAAACAGAAGAGGACCTCAAAAATTTTCTACCAAATATGCGGAGAAAGGAGGACAACTAAATGTTGTATATTTGAATGCACAGAGTGCACGTAATAAATTTGACGACATCTGCTGTTATGTGAAAGACAGTGAATGTGATATTCTAGCAATAACTGAAACGTGGTTTCATGACAATGAAACAAAACTGTTTAATATTCCTGGTTATCACGGCTACCATGCCTGTAGAAACAATGGCAGGGGCGGGGGGGCTTCAATATATGTGAAAGAAATAATCAAAAGTAACCTGAAGGAAGTATCCACTCCTGAAAACATATGTAATCTCGTAAGTTGTTACCTCATGGACATAGATCTTGTAATTATCACAATTTATAGACCACCATCATCAAACACAAATGAGTTCCTTACAGAATTAGACGAAGTTTTAAATAAAAACAAAAAAAGACGATCCTCATAGGAGATATAAACATAGATTTAATAAAGAATAATGACCAGGAGGTGAAAGCTTACAAGAATCTAATAACACTAAATGGATATGTTATAAACAATATTATTAATTTACAGAATGCTACTCGAGTAACAGAGAGAACAAAAACTCTGATTGACCATGTTCTGTCAAATAACCTACTAACATGTGATGTTATTGTTAGAGATGAAATTAGGTCAGATCATAACGCCTTAAACATTAAAATAAATGAAACAGTAAAGAAAACAAAAAAAATTATAAAAAAACACACATCCTTGAATCAACAATTGTTTAAAGCAAAATTTTCAAAGATAGTTGAAAATAACACCATAAATTCATTTGAATTATTAATCTCAGCTGTTCAGGTTTGCAAAAAGGAATCAACAAAAACATTCAATTTGAAAATACATGAGAATAAGGACTGGATAACAAAAGAGTTTTTAGACCTATTGAAAATTAGAGATAGATTATATAGAGAAAAACAAAAAAACCCATTAGACCCAATTATAGCTAGGCAATTCTTACAGCAAAAAAATCACATTAATAAAATTAGAAGACAACTAAAAAAAGATTACTTTGAGAAAAAGTGGGAATCCACAGGCAACCACCCAAAAAAGCAGTGGCAATTCATAAATGGTTTAATAAAAGGAAAAACCAATAAAAGGGAAACTGAATGTATAGTAATGGATGGTCAAACAATACATTGTAAAAAAGAAATTGCACAACAATTCAATAAATATTTTGTGAATGTAGGGAAAACAATAATTGATAAGATTGGGGGTAATTTACAAGGTCCCCATATTGATCTTGAGGAGGTCGAGGGAAATGAAGCCATATCTCTTCGCAGTACTAATGTTGAAGAAATGCATAAAGTAATCAAGGAACTAAATAAAAATTCGGCAGCAGGAGATGATGGAATAACTACAAGGGATCTAATCTTATTACAAGATGCAATTGCACCAATTCTGGTCAACTTGATAAATATAACGTTTCAACAGGGTATTTTCCCAGACATTCTCAAGATTGGTAGGGTGACCCCAATTCATAAAACAGGACCAACTAGTCGAATTGATAATTTCAGACCAATAACTGTAATATCTTGCCTATCAAAAATTACTGAGATTATCGTAAAGTCAAGAATTATTGAATTTATCGAGAAAGACGTCCACTTCGACAAATACCAGTACGGGTTCCAACCTAAAAGTAATACAATGAGTGCTACCATTGATTTTGTTAATTTTGTCTCCTCTAATCTAGATGAAAAAAGATATGTCGTAGCGGTATTTATTGACCTACAAAAGGCTTTCGATGTAGTAGATCACAGGATCTTACTCGAAAAATTGGAAAAAATGGGAATACGTGGCAATTTACTAACACTTTTGAAAACATATCTATATAATCGGGAACAATATGTTTGCATAGACAGCATTAGAAGCGAAGTAATGAGTATACATTGTGGAGTGCCGCAGGGGTCTGTATTAGGACCCCTACTGTACTCACTACATGTTAGGAGCCTAGAAAAAGTAGAACTACTTGGGAGATACTTTACTTTTGCAGACGACACCGTCCTAATCTACAGTAACGAAAACCACGAAAATTTAGAGATAAGAATAAATTCTGACTTAAATTTGTATAATCATTGGATAACAAAAAACAAACTCAAAATAAATACAAAAAAAACAACCTTTATGGTGTTTACGCAAAGAAATACAAACTTTGAGGAGATTAACATAAAAATTGGAGGCGAGGAGATACAACGAGTTGAAAATACAAAATATCTTGGCCTAGTTGTAGACGACAAAATGAACTGGAGTAAACATATTGACCACATTGAAAATAAAGTAGTACCGATGATCGGAGCGATCTATCGATGTAGAGACTATCTTGATAACAAACTATATACTCAAATCTATAATGCATACTTTTTATCTATTTTCAGATACTTGATTCCCTTATGGGGATCCTGTGGGCGTACACTATTTGAGAAAGCAGAAAAACTACAAAATAAAATTGTGAAAGTTTTATTCAATATCGAATTCAGAACACCAACAAAATTGGTTTATAAGCAAACTGGCATTTTACCAATCTCAGAAATATTGAAAATTGAACAGAGTAAATTTATGTACAAGGTTTGCACATCTGAACAGAAGTGTAATTCACGAATTAAATTAAACCATGAAGTCCATCCCTATGAGACAAGGAATCAACGAAATATATACATCGAGTCCACAAGAACGAACATTGCTTTAAATAACCCTCTCATTAAATGTATCAAAACTTTTAACTGTCTCCCAGTGGCTCTGAGGGAAGCCGAAAACATAAAAATATTCAAAAATGAACTGTCTAAGAACATCTCTAACAATAACATCACTATATATGAAAATCAGATTGGGCAGTAACAATGAAATGAAAAAGTGTAGACTTAAGAAGTTCCGAGACCAGCATTACATGCTGATTTGGAATTGTTTTTCAAATAGTGTCCGAAACATGTATGTACGAAATTGAAAATAATCAGATTGTGAACTATTTGAATAAAGCCTTTAAAAAAAAAAAAAAAAACCTGTATCTCCGTTATAGATGACCAAGAAACTTTCCATATACCAACATCAACTTGTCTTGATTTTCTCTATTCACCATTTGGCTATGTGACTTCTCATGAATCACTCTGTCTATTCAACCGATATTGCAGTTAATGTAAAATAATTTTCTGTCCTTCAGTATGCTACTAACATTCAGTTTGTTATGAACATCAGTTCTAAACTCCATTGACAGTTTGATAACTTTTTTCCTATTTCCAGATGAAAATGGTCGTACATAGACCTAGCACCATTGATTTTTCCACGGTAGAAGTTGATCTGATCAAGAAACCAGGAAAGGGTCTCGGTCTAAGCATTTTAGCTAGAAAATCGGGATTAGGGGTGTACGTCGCTGATATCGTAAGTATTTTCATGATTTTCTATAAAATATTCTTTGGTTTCAATGAGTAGATCTCATTGTATTATTACTTACTAGAGTTGCCCAACCTGATGATGCTGATTTTTGTTCTATGGTCATATAGTTTAGTTTTAGTTTAGTTTATCTTTATTCTTCCTTAATTGACAATTGTAAATTGCATTGAAAGTCGTCACATATATAAACACTATACTATAAAACACTAAAACTAAAATACAATAGAGGTATACAATAGAGGTATGCGATAGAGGTATACAATATACAATAGAGGTATACAATTGATAAAATGCAATAAAAACATTCGTTAGAAGAGTTTTGAATTTTCTTCATATACATTTTTTAGTAAAATATAGAAAAAAGAATAGTAAAAGAATGCAGGTGTGGTTCGAGTTAAATAAAAATCAGATCTTTTCATTGAGATAATCAAATACCGAATAATAACATTTTTCTAATAGAAACTGTTTCAATAATATTTTGAATACATGACTATTATTACTAGATTTGATGTTGGATGGAAGTTTATTGAATAATCTAGGGCCCATACATTTTGGAGATTGATAGCTTAACATTAATTTCACTGATTTAAAATGTACATCTTTTTTATTTCTTGTATTGTGATCGTGTATCCCATCCTTAAGAGTGAATGAGTTTTTATTTTGGAAGACGTATAAGCATGCCTCAAAAATGTATAGAGATGGCAATGTTGAAATACCTAACTCCGAAAATAATTTTTTGCATGAATGATAGTAAGGTACTCGTGCTATGCAACGGATGATCTTTTTTTGTGCTATAAAAACATCGGAAACCTTTGTAGAGATTCCCCACAATAATATTCCGTACCTCAATTGAGAATCAACATACGCATAATAGAGTGTGATTGACTTTTATTAAGTATATTTCTTATATTTCTAAATAGATATGTCATCGAGTGAAGTTTAGAAACAATGTGTCTGCATTGTTCTTTCCAATCTAGATGCTCACCAATATAAAGACCAAGAAATTTAAAATTCTCATGTGTACTGGTCAATTGATCACCACTGGCACAGATATTAACTGTTTCACAAGCATTTTGTCTGTTATGAAATCTACATAAAATTGTTTTATTCAAATTTAAAAAAAGATCATTCTCACTAAAATAATTGGTGACTCTTTTGATTTCCTCAGTACCAATGCATTCAATTTCCAATGTTGTAGCAGCAGATATTGTTAGAGAGAAATCGTCTGCATATGCCGTGTAATTGCCTGAATGAATTATCGAATCAATATCATTAACATATAAGATGAAAAGTATAGGACCCAATATTGAGCCTTGGGGGACACCCATTTTAGTACATTCTACTTGTGAATTGTAGACCTTAGATACATTATTAATTTTATGTGCTATAGTGACATACTGGGAACGATCTTGAATGAATGATGATATCCAGCTATTTAAATATTTCTAATTTCGATAATAATCGTGAATGATTTACGCAATCAAATGCCCTGCTGAGGTCACAGAAGATTGTGACAGGACACTCCTTCTTCAATACATTCCACCACTCTGTTGTAAAATGAAATCAAAGCCGAGGTAGTTGACCTTGACTTCCTAAAACCATGCTGATATTTACTTAGTATTCTAAATTTCTCAATGAAATTCATAAGGCGATCTAGAAAAGAATATTCAAACACTTTTTGAAAACTACAGGGTACTGTGACTGGTCTATAGTTTTCCAGAAGTTTCGGATCCTTATTTTTATGTATAGGAGTAACTTTTCCTCTTTTTAATCCATTTGGAAAAATACCAGTTTTGAATGATATATATATCTGTTCATCGCGCCCATCACGAGTGACACAGACTCATGATTGGAACATCGAACATTTGTTTTTCTGGAAATGACATCAATTTTCGATTTTCAAATAGAACACCCTATATGTTATTGAATTATCGGTTAGAGATTATGAAGAATTCAACGTTAACGGATTTGATAGAGTTATTTCAAACGATTACGAAGATATTTGCGTTCGTAGTTTCCATATGCCAACTTGAATATCTTCGAAATTGTTTGAAATAACCCAATCAAACCCGGTATCGTTGAATTCATTATAATTATCTCTGGCCGATTATTTAGATTTCATTTTGAGGAGAACTGGAAGGTGAAAAAAATCCTGAAATGTGAGAAAGTGCCCTCTAGTGAGTATATTCTATGTTTCAAATTTCAGAAATGTAGCTAGAGAAAACAAGGAGAAAAGGGGGTTACCATGAGTCTGTATCACCCGGTATACGTATTATTCAACAATATTATAGATCCAACAAGAAGCTGTCTTCAAAGACAATAATGACTATCCATAGGCATAAGATTATATGTATCGTGCATCAACAAATGCGCAAATTCGAAGGACCTAATATCCATTCCAGTTTTCTCTTTCAATATACTATGAAATATTTAATTTTCATGTTATTGCTTAATTCTAGTCATCAGTATGTATCAGCAGCTACTTAGTACTGTTACTTAGAAGTTTGGATATTCGGAATTTCTATAAAAAGGCATCAAGAATACCACGTGAAAAACATACATTTCATTCCAACTGCAGTTGCCATTTAACCACATTTTCAAAAATAGGATAGAATGACTATTTCAATTATTTCTCATCAAATAAGTAATTATCAAGTGTAATTTTTAAGTAGTTCAAGCAGGGATGTAATTCAGATGGAAAATACTTTGAAATTCATAATATTCATCAAACCTCTGATGAAGAATTGCTACTAAAACATGTCTGTGAAACGTGATCAAAAACAACATAATCCTTTCAACGGCTGGTAAATGCTATTGTTTAAGGCTGGTAAATGATATTGTCTACTATAACGCATGTATGTGAATAAATCCTAATGGATAATCATTTGTTTCGTATTTTAGCTTCCACCTGGCACCCGTTGTTATCAATATTGTTAATTAATACGTATATGATCGCACCATGTAAACAATTATAGTCATAAAAAAACAATTTTGGTAGGTTGAAGCAACATAAATGAACAGGCCCATAAACCATGACACGATCATGTCAATCTTTAAAGATTTTAGAAATCATGTAGAGACCTCTATAGACTGATGATTCCGAACAATTAACATGCAAATTAGTTTTTGTTGGAATTTGGAAAAATGATACCTTGAAAAGAATTTCCATACACAGCCCACGTGTAAGAAGTCCCAAAATTATCAACTGAACATGTGGGGGTATTGTTGAAATAAATATTCAACGTATGCTTTTTCGCAGACTCATTTCTGGTGTAATTCGTAACACGATAAACCTCCTTGCATACATACAATCGTGGAGTCCACATGCGCTGTGGTAATCTTTTAAACATGTTTTTTTTGTCATCACAAAATTGATAACGGCATATAGGTAAGATACTATATGTCGTCGGAGACATCGGTCAGACGAGCCTACAAACGGGATGGAGTGTTCAGTGGAGTCAAGGGACACCCACACTATAGAATGGCGGATTAGACCAGGGCCTACTCTATCTCACCGGGCCGTAGTCTATCCCCTCTCTCTCGACGCTGACGTCACACTAGTAGGTTGAGATTTCACATCAGTCCGTACTGGTGCGTTCGTAATTGATAGGCCATAGCTCATTTACTATAAATTTTAGAAGCACACTCAATCGAAATGAAATGATCCCCAACGAATTCCCCAACTTTTGGTGAAGAAATGAATTCAATAGGATGAATCAATACCGAGTTATGGCGTTGTAACGAAATTCCATTTTATTGAAAATCAGGACGTTGTAGTTACCTACAATGAGTCCGAAAGAAATTAAATATAACGAGCGCGTAAAAAATGGGCCATTATACCTACCTACCCAAATTTCGCTGTATTACGATTTCGCGGTAATTCCATGGACTGGTAAAGGGCGATATACATTTTATTACTCATTTTATTTCTAAATGGCGTATGGTTCAGTCCAACTAATATTGGTGTCTAAAAAACTCGAAACAATATCTCTACAATGTAAGTCACAACATTGAGTTCTGGAGAATTTAGCAGAAATTAAAATCAATTCCCTTCTCAATTATTCCGAGAATCAATGTTGCAGTTGTGGGTCTTTTGATGGAATCAGCAGCACATTCTCTAAAACCATTTCAAATATTCTGTTGAACAATTATTGCAAAATAATAAAAAAATAAAAAAGAAAAATCACTAAACTTTCAGGATGAGATATAGTTCAGATTTCAATTTTTAGTTTGTGATTTAGATGATGTATATATATTTTTTGTAATTAGTGTATTTCATTTTGTGATATCTATCAATTTTTTTTTTACGTTATGTTGATTATTTTTACAGTTTATTCTGTTAGGTTTTTTTTTTCATTTTTTCCTTATTCATTCATATATCCTTGTTCTGGGTATTTTGTTATTCAGTTCGTTATATTCATTTTTATATCTCTCATTGTTGAAATACATATTTTTTCAATTATTTTTGTTAGGTTGTGTTCATATGAACTCCACATATTTTGTTCTTTTTAATTTTGATAGTTTGCAAATATATCCAAATCAATTTTTTTTCATGAATTTAACGTTATCATTCAAATATATACTCTTCAGCAAAAAATAATTAATACCAAATAGGTGTTTTTGTGTAATAATAACACACTCGAGTGAAAGGATTTCTAACGTCATCAAAGTGCGTCCTGATCATCTTTAGAGATAAACGCTGCTAAAACCCTTCGAGATAAAGTGGATGTGTATCACACCGATTTGTAGGCAATCAAATTTCCTACAAAAAAGTCAGTGACAGCATATATCCATAGTTGATAGGATTAGCATGGGAGGCGTCCGAACTTTTTGAACTATTCTGTAATGAACACCTGAATCATCGTTCTACTTGAATTGAAATATCGGTTTGTTGTTGGCCCTTGGGAATTTGAAAAAAAACTCAGTCAATCTAGATACTATGCGAAATCTTTTCATGATTGAATAATTTCTGTGAATTGAATATTGGAATTTTGGTAGCTGTTTAAAAAAGGGCAATTCTGAATGGCGTCAATTAATTTTGATATGCCATATTTCTGAAATTAATGATCGTAAACCAGTGAAATTTGATTCATCTTCTGGAAAATTCTGTTCTGTACATATTTGACCTCTTGATATTTTTCGCTGTGACCGTTTTCCCGAGGTAAATCAATGAAACGGGAGAGACAATTTCCACTGCGTTGATTTTGTCCCTACTAGTGTGACGTCACCAAAGCGATGCTCCGGCCCGGTAAGATAGAGTAGGCCCTGATTAGACCCATTTTATGCCCATAAAGGATTTCAACAACCGCAACAAAAAAAACGAAACGCCCGGGCGATGTGGCCGCGGAAGGGTATTCCGGGAAAGATAGTCTCGTAACAATATTATAAAGATCTATCCGAAGGCTCCGTAAAGGTTTCCATAACAATTTGTAAAATTTTTGTGCGATTTCAAATCTATGAAGAATAATTAATTATAGTCGTTTTGATAGCTGATAGGGGAGTCGTTTGACCCACCAAATCAAGGACAAGGATATGAAAATAAATAACATTATTAATAATAGGTTTCACTAAAATTACTCAAAAGTGTCTCGTTTCATACGGGTTATTCATAATAATATAGAATGATTAAAGAATGTCTAGTGAACCGAATTAACTTCAAATCGAAAATAAGGAATCAGGTTAGGTTTCAATTTGAAAGCCTGGCAACCCCTATTCATGAACGGATTTTGCAAGGCAATCCTATACTACTGTATTCGTTATAAAATTGCCTCCATTTTGATATATTTCACAAGTGGAAAGCATATCGGTGGTGCAATTATTACTATCAACTTTCCTTTTTGTACACGGCAACTATGTAATAGGAACCAGAAAAATATAGGCAATCTAGCTGTTCCATATTCTATATATTGTATGCTTTCCATTGGAATTTCATTAATTTGGCAAGCAAGTCAGTGAAATTAAAAAAATATATATATAATTTTCAAAATTTTTATTTATCCTAGTCATGAATATATTTTTTATGGCAACCCTATAGGTACATGTTCAGAAATATATTTTATTTGTTAAAATATAATTTTCATCCGGCAAGCATATGAGTGAATGTCGACCTCACTTGGGAGGCCTGATTTAAGCTGAAATCATTTCGGCTCTGATTTATCCAACTGATTATTTTCATATTATAATTGTCAGATCCTTTTTTGTTTTCAGATCAGTGGTGGAACAGCCGATGTAGATGGTAGAATAGTCAAAGGTGATCTGCTGATATCTGTCAATGGACAGAATATTGAAAATGTTTCTGGTGAAGAAGCGGGGGCCATATTAAAGACTGTCATAGGCAAAGTTTCTCTGAAATTACACAGATATAAACCAGTAGCGAGATAATTTACTGTTATTTGCACCAATTCCTTGCACTTTAGATGGCTCAACGACACCAATATTGTGTAAATTATTGGTAGAAACAAAACGGTAAGAAAATTTGAAATGTTCCAATGGTAGCTCATCAACATTGGGTTCTCGAAATTTTTTGTTCATGAAGTGTAGTTCTGAGTTCTTAAATTCAGGTTACAGTTACAATTCCAATTCTAATCAGTGTTTTAACGTCGGAAACGATATCGATTGTAGTTCTGTTTGTACCGTTGATTTGTTGAAATCCATTGGGAGTCCGAATTCATGCATATTGAAGGTACTCTTCCAGTTAGTGTGAATCATGAGTTAGGAGGAATTCTTCATCAACTAAACTATTGATTGAGAAGAACATAATTCATTTTCTCAATATCTGCTTCTATACTATTTCCATTCTAATTCCCATGAATATCAAACTATAAGACAGGTGTCCTCATAACATTTCAGCATGTACTAACATCACTGCCTGCCGATTCCAATTTTTTTGAAATAAGCTCCTAGAGAGAAATCCGTTGTGAGACATATTCACAAGAAATGATGGATAATATTGGATAATATTGGATCTACACACTAGATAGGCAATACATATCAATGAGCGGATTGAATATTTAAATCTGCTACTTATTGGCTGTCGACAATAATTATAGAAAACATCAATGAGGTCATTTATTCTTGCAGAGCGAACCCTGAGCCGAAATATCAGTAACTTATTGTTACTATGTCTGATACTTGTTATTCTTTCATATATACAGTGTGAAAACCTATGAAGGAATCTGTACGCCCATAACAGAAATATATTCTTAAAAATCCTTGGACAGGTTGATTCTGATTTTTGAAAATCTATTTTGTTGCCTAAAGTTTTTCAATCCCCTGTCGACCTCCTGCCCTACAGATGAACCCCTTAGAAATTTTTAAATTGTGCAATGGGTCAAGTTATACCTGAGAAGTATTCGAAATCTCTATACAACAGCTTTTTTTTTATCGGGAGCAGTCGAAATATTTAAAATTCATTGAAATTTTTGCCAATTTATTGGTAATGGTAGGTACTCTTTCATAGATGTAGACAGTCATTCAGTATGAAAAAACTGATTTTATTTAGGTGAATTCACCTTTACAAATAATTCAAAAAAAATTCCTACCATTACCAATAATTTGGACAAACATTCCGATGGATTTGAAATCTCTACTGCTTTCTTGCGGATATGGCTCGACCATATTGAAAAATGAATTACCGTTGTATAGTGATTTAGAATACCCCTCTAACAATTTGTAGGGTAGGAGTTTGACAGGTGGGTGAAAATTGTTATGTCAAATGAATAGATTTTCAAAAATATTGTTTCTTTAAGTCACTCAAGAGCAAACGAGAGGAGTGATTTACAACTATGTTCTGAATACAATAAGTGATAATGCGTTGACATGACCTGCAACCTTACCAGTGCCAGTTGCTCCGAGCTCTCCAGATTACCTGCCTTTAAACCTTTTATTATTATCACAGATAGTTGATAGTTTTCAATTTTCTATGAAATCTCGTTTATTTAATTATTAAACCTGTCCAACTAAAACAGAAACCTAATTTTTACACGTGTTATTCTACAAATATTCGTCGAGTGACATAGGTACTCCAGCACGCTCATGAACTTGATTCAAAACCATTAAACCAACGACGATAACGTCGATAATTTTGTTGATATTACTCATGAAATCACTAGATAACAAGCTGTCATAACAATCGAAAAATATTTCCGACATGAATAGCATCATTTATTGTGTCTTATACGACATGCAGTTCTGAATCTCTTGAATAAAAGCACTGGTTTTTGGACTCTCAATGGAAGCACAAAATGTGTCCGTCCAAACCAAGTTCGATCTGTTACTTCAATTCATTAATTTATTATTTCTCGGATTTCTTTGTTTTCACGGGCCCTATTATTCACATCTTGGAACATGAGAAACTGTAATAAGATTGACACTTTCATGAAAGTGAACTGTGAATTTATAACGATGGTAATAGAAATGAAACTCCATTTTTGTTTTGATTGGTGATATTGAATTAGCTGTAAGTTGTATTTTTGGTTAGTTATAAACATGGTCGTTGGGCTTCATTTAATTAGTTTTATGGGTTCTCAACTTTATTTATGTTAAGATACTTTTCCTCATCTGCCTCAATAACATGATGAATAATATATTATGTATCGCACCATTTTACCAGTTTCAAAATATCCATTTATAAAATACTTCAATAACCACATTACCGAAAAAAATGCATTCTCCATGGAATAATTAATAATGACGATGGCAATGTCAACCTGCAGGTGGGTGGTATTCTATTGACAATATGGAACTAGGTTCGATCTGCAGTCATCCTAGAGATTTTCAACTTATAATGCAAGTTATAAATTCTGAATGTTATAGCTTGACTGGAAATGATTTCCTTTTATTAAAACTGTAGTGTTAGATTTAACAATGCTGAAATGCTACTCCTCAACATACAAATACAAATGCGCTGAAATATATCTCATAAATTTTATTGCCAGTTGGTGAGCTCACACACACACACACCCTCCCTCACCAACAATCATGTAAAACTATTACTAAAAACAACTGTTTTATCAAAAATATCTATATAAATAAGGCTGTTGAGTTATAAGTAAAACCCAAAGAATAATCGAAATTATATGGAACTATCATATTTGCAGGTCTTGTTCAGTAAAATTGTTAACATGGATAATAGAATCCAAGTTTTGGTGGTTCGTCTGTCTATTTTATGTTTGTATAATCAAAATGTGTTTTTTTTTCACCTAATCTTGACAAAGAATGGATTTGTTGAAAGGCCTAAATAAAAAGAATTGCTCAGGCAAGATGAAAAGACAATTTTAGTGTGGCTTGTAATCGTCCGAAGATATTGTGAGTATAGCTGGGCTCCGTGGCCGAGTTTGTCTATGCGCTGAAATTCGCTAGATAGCCGTTCACAATGCAGAGGTACTGTCGGTTCGAATCCGGCTATCGGCTGAGCATTTTTCTTTAAAATGTGTGATTCATGGTTGTAATCCTGGCAGCACCTCGATGCCCTAAAGTGGTTCGGATTCCACTATAAGCTGTAGGTCCCGCTCTTCCTAACCCCGCACAAGTTTCGACTTCTGGGGAGTTGGTTCCCAACTTTGAAGTAGCGATATACAAAATTCGACAAAAATTCGACATGACTTCTCATCAAATAGATAATCATTCAAATCGGTAGGGAAATGCATAATGTGTATGTTTCTTAATAAATTCGAGGAATTCAGATAATTACGGCATTGATGGTGACAAGACGCACCTTTATCTTGTCTGAATGCAACATTTCTCTCCTTTGGAGCCTCTAATAAATTCGATGAAACCGATTTTGGTCAAGATTAGATGAAATATTAACATCGATTTGCAAAATATCTCCTTCTTTTTTCTGAACTATAGACTGAACAGCCGACCCTAGGGTGTAATAAGTGCTTTGATCTCGATTTTTAAGATGAAAATTCTGGACTGCCAAGTTAGGAACCATTGTCATTGATACGTTTACTTCCGACTAGTTTTCATCAAATAAGTAAATCTATAACTACTTAGTAATATATATTCATAATATCAAGTTACATCAGTAAATAAATCTTGGGACGATAAACTTTGACGTAAAATGTGATTATGAAGTGAACATAGCTATGATAAGTTTATGACCAACGTTCTTAATCCTCTACGGAAAGTCAGGATAAGAATAAATTATAACCTAGAAATTCGTTGGGGCCTTAACGACGTCACTGAAAATCCGATTGGTCAAATGATATTACTTTTTCATTTGCCGTCAAGGTCACATCAGTTCATTGGAATATTTTCCATTTTTGTTAATTGGTTGTATAGTAATTGTTCATCATCTTTGCTGAAGGAATGAAATTTGAACATAAGTTTATAGGAACTGTTAGTCCTACAATAAGCCACGGATCACCTTCAATATGTATAAGACATTTAGGAACACCCTGTATATAATGCTTTTACGACTATCGTGATCCTAACACATCTTTTCAATCACATCAAAGTTTCACTGATAATCGTGATTAAATTTCAGAAATCTTCTCGAGCAACTGTTGTGTCGATATCGCCTTAACAATCACCCGAGAAAAGTATATCATCATGCTTTATTAAATTCTGAAAATTTGAGAGTACTCTTCAATATGATTTGAAAATCTGAAATCGTATTTGTATTTGATATCAATAGTTCAATAACGAAAATCACATATATGATAGCAGCGCAGAATGCACATTTTTTTCTGTAAGTGGTTATTCTTGATTTTTCCTGGAGATAATGACATTAAGTATATTTTTAGGAAACTTATTGAAAGTAAGTTTAATGCTATCATAAGGCTGATAAGTTTTATTAGCTGTGTGGTAGCAATAAACAAAACTGGCCAAAATACAAATAGGATCTAGAGGTAATTGAAATATTTGCAGAGAATTAGTGATAACTTGAAAAAATTTTATAAATCTTTATTAGCTCTTTTGTGTTCTTAGTAGGAGATCTGCCATAATAACTATAATATACCCTCTGTTTTGGATACTCTATTTTATTGAAATGGATAATCATCACCAAGCTATAAGTAACTCGTTTTAGGGTTGAAGAAAACTTTTATGCACGACCGAGCGTAAAGTGGCACTTCGGAACACGCGGAATATTTTATCGTTTGCAAGTCGTTGAACAGGCGTTCAAATAATTTCACTCTTATATCTATAGAAATCCATATTTCAATAGTTTTAATTGATGCAAAATGATTTTATAATAGATTTCCTGAATTATTCAGGAGATACGAGCCAGTAACGATACGTATATCAAGAGTCGGGAACAAGGTTAGTAGAAGAGAGTGGTTGCTGCGCGGTGTGCGACGAAAGAGGGGATAGGCGCGTCATCGAGAGTGCCAGACATATTGTTTACCTTGAATCTTGTACTGCGATCCTGTATAGGTTTTACTGTTTTACTCCATTTCATCTCATTGTTTAGTGAATACACTGAAATTTCATTCCTTTATTGCCCCATTTTGTTGATCTGTGTTCATAATAAAGTTATTCTAGAACCGTGAACCAGGTGTTGTATAAACTAGGTATGATATTGTCTGGGATTAGCAGATAGACATAATTAGAGGTGAATTCAGTTCATAATATTATTGAGAATCTTTGTTAAAAAACAGGGAAAAATATCTACCTATATGTATTTTAACTATCATATACAAGCTAAATTAATACTGTGCGATATCCATTCTACTCCACATGATTTCGTTTTGATATAATATGTTATCCCAATTAATTAATCGAAGTCATGTACACAGGGAGATGGAATGACACCAATAAAAACATTCTGGGGTAGAAATGAAATTTGGGGTGATAGTCCTTTTTCCACCCAAAGTGCCACACTGTGAAAATTATGACGTCACCTCTGTACAAATTTTCGTGAGGAAGACAATTACGCGGAAATCAATTATTTAAATTGTCCTCGAGTGGAAAACTTTTTTTTTGTATTTTGCGTTCAATTTTCATGATGAAATTTCTCGATGATTAGAAGAATTAGAAAAATCTGATATTTTGGGAATATTAGTTAGACTGTATCATATTTATTTGCTGAATATGTCCATTCATTTCAAAATCACCTCGTATGTATTAACATAAATTACTATTTATGATATTTAGTGTTCTTGACATTTTTTATACCTAATCTGTTATGTTCATTAAGGGGAAGATAAAAGTCTAGTGATATTTCACAAATCTTCAATATCCCTATATCTAGTTATTGGTTCGAAATTGAGACTCACAAAAATGTTCTAATAGACATTTATTAATTTTTGGATTTTCTGGCATATAAAAGGTTAAATTTGACAAAATATCAATATCATTGGCGAGATATACAGGGTGTTTCGAAATTCGACCGACAACGTTTGACAGGTGATAGCCCTCGTGATTTCATAATCATTGAGATAGGAACATTCGGTCTTCAAGTGTTCAGTTCTCGAGATACAGGGCGTTGAAGTTGAGAAATGAAAATAGTTGTTTCGCAATATCTCAAGAATAATTGAATATAATGCATTCAACTTCGGTATATGGTTTCATCTTTGAATGGGTCATTTTTTGACCTGGAAGCCATTCCGGACATTTTGTCCAGTGGTGCCCTACAGGGGGTTGTGGCATTTTTTCCTTCCATATTTTCTACGCCACTGATTAAATTTCGATTATTTCCAATTCCTCGAATTCATTGTTCAATTTTGTTCAGAAAATGCATCACCTTCAACTGAGCTGAAATAAACAGTTTTCGAGATATTCGACCCAAAATAGAAGATTGCATAGTAATATTTCATCATTTTCAGTAGTAGAAAATTGCAAAAATATTTTTCTGGTGTTGAGTAGATTAGATACTATTCAGATCTCATGCTATAGCTGAACAGAAATAGTTATTCCACGCATAAAGAGAGAACAAAAATGTTCGTAATTTTCTAATACTGAGGAAGATGAAAAATTACTATGCAAACTTCTATTTTGGGTCAAATATCTCGATAACTGTTCATTTTAGCTTAGTTGAAGGTGATGCACTTTTTCAACATAATTGAACAATCAATTCGAGAAATTAGAAATAATTGAAATTTCATCAGTGGCGTAGAAAATATGTGCGGAAAAGTTATCACAACCCTCTGTAGCGCACCTCTGGATAAAATTCTCGGAATGTCTTTCTGGTCAAAAAATTAACCATTGGAAGATCAAACCATATACCGAATTTGAATGCATTATATTCAATTTTTCATGAGATATCGAGAAAAAACTATTTTAATTTCTCAACTTCAACGCCCTATATCTCGAGAACTGAACACTTCAAGACCGTATGTCCCTATCTCAGAGATTATGAAATCACGAAGGTTATCACCTGTCAAGCGTTGTCGGTCGAATTTCGAAACACCCTGTATATCTGTACAAAATCGAATCGTAATAAGTGATCAGAGTTGGACATATCAAAAATAGATCAAAAACAACAAACAATGACTTCAGTTCTCGATTTGAAATGGGCACTCTGGATGACGCTATCCCGCGCTGGCGCTGATTGGTTGAAAGGAACGAGACAACCTATCTCTTCTACTAACCTTGAGTCGGGAATCAATCACTATAATCCAACACTCGATATACCTACCCATTGCCAGAGATGCATAGATAACTCGCGAGTACCGTTCCTGTATGATTCAGGACATCTATGGTTAAAATGTGATGGCTTACCAAATGTTACAGTTTTATTAACCCATTAGTGCATGAAGTTACTTTTTTTCAAATCTCTATATTCTGAAGATGTTTACTCATTTGAATATACCCAAAGAATGATAACTCATGACGAATAATTTTTTTTTAAAACAGATTTTTTTTATATGACACGTCCATTTTAATGGACTCTATGCAAATTGGTTCATTGATGAAAGTGGTCAGTAGGGAATTTCAGTATTCATTTTTATTCAAGTACATAATCCAGAACATGAAAAACTCAATAACATCAATCACAATATTATCAATAATAATAATGATGATAATAATAATGAGAATTATACATCATGATGACTTGAAACATTTTGAAGCATCTATCAGATGCAGTTCTATATGACATATAAAATTGCAATTTTGTATACTCTACTGAATGAAATTCAGCTGATGGGTATATGAAAATGCATCATATCAAGAAATTATTTGGGATGATACTTCCAGACCTTTTTTCGGTGCTCCTCACACGATCCAGTGGAAGGAAATGTGAACCCGTTGAAGAAAAAGAGGAGTCAAACGAGTGGGTGCTGCAGTATAACGTACAATCATTTGAAGCTATAATATTCCTTTTCATAATGCAAAGATGTATATTATTTTCGATTTCATCAAAATCAGGATCAGAATAACGAAAGTCGCACGGCTGTTTGATGATTCCGGATAATTCCTTTAGAAATATGATTTATTATGGATTCGCAGTTTCTAAATTCGAATAACTGCATTTCTGACAACTTTTCTTCTGGAGGCAATATAATATATGATTATCTGTTGGTTGATCGATATTTGAGCCATTCTCCATATGTCTAAGAGGTCTTGCAAGAATGATCTACAAAAAAATCTTTATGACCAATATGCATAGAGTCCATTATAATGGACACAACACAAAAGCAATATTTTGAGTGTCTTACAAAAAAAATTATTATTCGAATTACCTTATGGGTTCATAAACACATGCCTATAATGAGATCTTGAGGGATAGAAAATTCTGAAATTCATTATACTCCGTTATAATAAATACTTACCCTCCTTGTCGGGTGCAATACAAATTGATATCCATTTGATGACGTGCAGAATATTGTCGAGATACAAATTCATGGAATAGAAGCGAAAGCTGTTTGTTGTTGAACTACACTTATAGTTCTGGCGCATGAAACATTCAATTCCTGCATGATTCACGTCACAAAAAATTAGACAAGGAGCGTCCATTATAAGACACATTATGCACTAATGGGTTAATGCAAATTGATATGATCGTACCCAAAACTAAATTATCTGTGATCACATTTATGGCTGCTACAGCCAATTTATTCCTATTCAACTTACGAACACAACCAAAAATTGAATGTAACAGAATAAACAGACCTCTTCGAGAGCTTTCAAAAACACCGTCTTCCTCTACACTTATTTTCTATCGTGAATTTCGAAAAATTATGTTTCCTATACCGTGCTTTCATCGGAAAACACTACATAGGCAAAGTAATCGGTCGCCGCCGGGGCTAGCACTTACGTAGGAGTGAGGGAGGCGACATGGCTCGCTTTCCCTCTTCCATCAAATAACGATTCGCACGAGTTATGTCTTATGTAGGGTATAGTCGTGAAAGCACGGTATAATCTGAATACTGCAACCGTGATGTAGTTCTATCCATGTTCTATCGTGCTTGAGGGGTGAAGAGGTATCAACACTGTAATCCCAAATATACCGGTCGTGCATACAATTTTTTATGTATTTCGGGGGTAAATTGCTTTCGTGGACTAAGCGCTTATTGCTCGGTTATAATATGCTATAGTCCATAGAAGCATATTTTATGCCTTTGATACATAAATAACTATTATTTTCTCATTTTTAACATTCATGATTCGCATTTACTTCCAAGATAACTAATGAGGTATATATTTAATGTTTGTCTAGTCAATTAAGTTATTGTTGTTACTTAATTTATTATCTATGTATTTAGTAAAATAGTATACCTGCTTGAATTGTGATACATCTTATAACAATTAGCTAATTAAAGTTAGGTATGAATATGGATTGATAGCGAGTATCTTATGGGAAAATTATAAACTCGAATGTCACTTTGAATGTCCATTTTGTTTCAATTTCAAGAATGAAATATTAGTTGAATTATAATAATATCAGATAGACTAATGATACATACATTTATATTTAGGCAATATATTGTACATGGATGCATGTATTATTTTAGAAATCTTTAGATGAAGTCTTCAAATACATTGAGCAGACTGTAATGATTTGTATATATACTATACTCTTGCAAAGTTCACTACTTGTACTAAATTTAGAACTATTTTGTAAATAGCGTTATGCAATGTTGCATGCTAGAATTTTAATAAAATTCACTTTATCTCTTGCTAAAATGCGTTTTCTTGGTACTTTCCCCATGTTTGCCCTGATTCTCAATTTTCATGTAAAAGTACACATTTCAAAATTAAATTATGTTTAATATAAATTATCATTGAGAGTTGTTAAATCACATTACAAGACATTATTAATACAACCAACAAACTACCGGGAGATTTGAAATATCCGTAGAAAAAAATTAGTTTTCGCCCTCGTCAGCTTCCTCTTCTTCATCGAATTCACCCTCTTCTTCAGCTGTTGCATCTTGGTACTGCTGGTACTCAGAAACTAAGTCATTCATGTTGCTCTCTGCTTCTGTGAACTCCATCTCGTCCATTCCTTCACCTGTATACCAATGTAAAAATGCCTTTCTTCGAAACATGGCGGTAAACTGCTCTGAAATTCTCTTGAAAAGTTCTTGTATGCATGTAGAGTTTCCAATGAAAGTGGATGACATCTTCAGACCTCTGGGAGGAATGTCACACACAGCAGTCTTCACATTATTCGGAATCCACTCTACAAAGTAGCTGCTGTTTTTATTCTGAATATTTAACATTTGCTCGTCAACTTCCTTCATTGACATTCTACCTCGGAATATCGCAGCAACTGTTAAATATCTACCATGTCGAGGATCACAAGCAGCCATCATATTCTTGGCATCAAACATTTGAAGAACTAGTTCCGGGACAGTTAGGGCTCTATATTGTTGACTCCCTCGAGAAGTCAAAGGTGCGAATCCTGGCATGAAAAAATGCAAACGTGGGAAAGGAACCATATTTACAGCTAGCTTTCTTAAATCCGAATTCAATTGACCTGGGAAACGAAGGCAAGTGGTAACACCAGACATTGTTGCAGATACCAAGTGGTTCAAATCGCCATATGTTGGAGTAGTTAGTTTCAGAGTTCTGAAGCATATGTCATACAATGCTTCATTGTCAATACAGTAGGTCTCATCGGTATTTTCCACTAACTGATGAACTGATAATGTGGCATTGTATGGTTCCACAACTGTGTCAGATACTTTTGGAGAGGGCACAACTGAGAAGGTATTCATAATCCTATCTGGGTATTCTTCTCTTATTTTTGAAATCAATAATGTTCCCAAGCCAGAACCTGTTCCTCCACCTAGCGAGTGTGTCAACTGGAACCCTTGCATACAGTCACAGCCTTCTGCTTCCTTCCTTACGACGTCCAATACAGAATCGACTAGTTCAGCACCTTCTGTATAATGTCCTTTTGCCCAGTTATTTCCAGCACCACTCTGTCCAAAAACGAAATTATCTGGTCGAAATATTTGACCAAATGGACCTGATCGAACGGAATCCATCGTTCCAGGTTCCAAGTCAACAAGCACAGCTCTAGGAACATATTTACCTCCAGTGGCCTCATTATAATAAACATTTATACGTTCTAACTGGAGGTCTGAATCTCCGTGATAAGTTCCCGTTGGATCAATGCCATGTTCATCAGATATGACCTCCCAAAACTGAAAATTGAATGAAATTCTAATAAACTGAATTCAAATAATCAGGAATTCTCTTACTTTTGCTCCTATTTGGTTTCCACACTGCCCAGCTTGGATATGCACTATTTCTCGCATTTTACTGTATTTTGTGAATTTTAATTTGAACAAATACCAAAATTATGGCATATGTTTGTTATGTTACTAGGAGTCCTAAATTGTTTCGAAACTGCCGCCTTTGTAAATTTGAATTTTGAATTTAAATTTTATCGCTGCCGCCAATCATTCTATTCCGATCACAAAACATATATTCCACAGAACTTTATAAGTGTTTCGTGCCTTGTCGTGCCACTTCCTTCTCGAAACTTGAAGTTCTCTGGTCACAAACCACCTATGCGTCGTTGACGGTTGACTTATCTATAATTGAAATTTGACAGCTTCGATGTTTAACCTAAAGGTGCGTTCCTAATGCAGCGTTTTTGCTTTACGCGTCGTGAATTTGAAAAATATTTGACGCGATGAACTTGAAATATTTCAACTTTTTGGCGTTGCTGCTTTGTGTCGCGTTGAGGTCATGTTTCAGAAACCTTAATATTCATTGAAATGAAGCAATAAAAATTCTTTCAACACAAGATTTTTCAAGAAAATTTGAAGTTGATAGAACTTGGATGGAAATTGACAGGATATTTCCCGCATTTCGGGAAATCCGAACGCATGTGGGATTTTGGTAGGAGAAATGATTTTCCAGGAAATATGCGGGAAATCATGTATGTTCATGATAATCCAGAATGGAATTTTCGCAAATGCGCAAAAATGTTATGTTTTGTTCTCTCACAGAGGGTGATAAACCGCTATTTCATCAAACATCTAAATTCTCTCTTGTCATGCGCCAATTCCCCTCAACCCGCGTATCATAAAACTACATGACTTCAAAATAATATGTGTTTATGGTATTTCGATACATTTTGCATATCATTATTTTTCGAAACATTATTCAATAAATTTGAATGTGGCGGGAAATGGACGGAAATTTTTTCAAGAATCGTAGGATTTTCACAGTCTCCATGTTGGCAACTTTGAAAACTAGGTTCCAAGGTTTGACAGAACAGAATAAGAAGAAGACACAATTAACCACCATTTTTCCATTCCGTTGTAATGTTTTGGACTCATCTGCGCTTTTTCAAATAAATTATGGCGGTTTCAAAATTTTATCTAAAATATGTGTTTCTAATAATAATATTACTCGTTGTGGGGGCTGAGTGTTCAAAATTGAATGTGCCGCGAGTACTTTTGCCAATTTTTAATGACTTCTCTATGAAATTCACTCTAGAAGCCACTGAAGGCGGTTGCTATAAATGGTAAAGTTCGGCATGTTTTACGGAAATTGATATATTAATGTATCTACATTTTCGTAGGAGTACAACCAGGAATGATATAATTCAATTGACCCTTGTGGATCCTGATCCAGAAGAGGAATGCTCCACAAAAGTCATAGTAAGTACTGTCACAAAAGAAGCTGCCAGAAATATGGCTGTTGTCCTGGCTGAAGACGTTCATTCAAAACAAATGCTCAGATGTGATGTAATGGTTGATGTTATTCATGACCTAGTCATTTCCACAACAACTAGAGAACTATTCATGGAGGAAGCACCAGAAGATTTCCAGATTACAGCTTATGATGACCAAGGTACAGCCTACACAGAAACATTGAGTTCTTAATTCCAGCTTAAATATACCATAGGTAATGAATTTTCCACAATGGAAGGAGTGGAATTTGAGTGGAATATAGTATCACTGGGTCCCAATAAAGATGCAGTTTTGAGGTATATAACTTTCAGAGATTCACCTTATGAAACACCCCCTGCTATTGCACCTTTGGAACAGGAAGGGAAAAAAGGTTATTCTATATTATTAGAAGGTGTCAAGAGTGGTTCAGCTAAAGTAAGAAATACTATTTAAATACACAGTTAAAAGACTCCAGATAAATCATATAGATGTGATGCCACAATTCATTGTAGGTTTCAGTTCGATTACCCCATCCAGAATATAAACATGTTCCTACCAAAGAAGTCCAGTTGATGGTAGTTGCTAACTTACTGATCACACCCCCAGAAGTATATGTAATGCAGGGGGATACTGTGCCTTTCAAGATATATTTTGTAAGTCAATTTTAATATCATTTTGGAGAGAGAAAAATCTTCAGTTGTATATCCTAAAAAATACCATCCAACCTATGTCTTCCAGTCCACATCTTTAGGTAATCTTTGTCATTGTCTGTATTCCAGTTGAAAAATGGTAGAATGGAAGAGATAACACTACCAGACTCACAGTATTATCTACAAGCAGAGAATGAAGAAATTAGTTATACTAACAAAAAGACTGGAAATGTCACTGCATTGAAGGAAGGTGACACTAGAATAGTACTCAGAGATCGTAATGTTGGTAAAGATGATCCTTTGATGAAATTACCAGCAGCACATTTTCATGTTGTCAAACCAGACTATATTGTCTTGAATATCCTACCACACAAAAATTGGGCTGTTCTAGTGGGTGATCATCATGATATTGTGGCAGAGATATATTCAAGGTAAAGAATTATGTTAATGTTTGATTACAATTTGTTCTAATAGTTATTTATTATACAAGGGAAAAAAGTAGTAGATTTTAGCTCCAGGTTGTGTTGTCTCCCCACCAGTAGAGGAAGGAGGGAGACAAAAACCCTGAGCTAAAATCTTATATTTTTCCCATTTATAATACACTATTGTTTTCTGTGACAGGAAAAAGGAAGAATCAATATTAAGAAGATATTATATATAAATAGTAGTAGTATATAAAGTACTCATTTTTTCTTTTCTGAAGGGAAAAAAGTAATTTATGAAAAGTGACATTTTATAACCTGTCAACAGAGATGATATTTCTTTCTCATCACAGAAAAAAAAGAATTATTCACATGGTTCTATAATAATGAAATAGTATTATCATATTGGGTAATGAAAAATCCATTCAAATAAAAAAAACAGGCATTGACATTTATACAAAATCATTATGGAATAAAAGTCCCCATAAAATTGTCATTTGATTCCTGGGGAATATTTATGTATTCCTTTTGATTGACCTTACTTAGTGATAGAAAAAACTCCTGAGAAAACTCCATAAGAAGATGTTTCAGTGATTATTGTTCATTTGTCCAAATTAACAATATTCAATATCTATTTGGTTTGGTTTTCAACTATGGATCTCACACTTTCAACACTCAATATCTCTCAAACTAAATGAGATATTGGGAACTTCAAAACAAAATCTTAAATTAGAAGAGAGATTAGAAGTTATTCTCTTTTGCATGATGCCCTCCAAACATGATGTCCCCATTCCATATAGGGGGTGTGTGAAAATGTTGAATTTTTTCAGATGAATCACCCTTTAAAAGGGTGCTTTTTGCTGGATTCAAAAATATATACATATTTTGCATACATTCCATGGAGTACTACAGGGTGAATTGAAGGAATATAACTTGAACTTGATTGAAATTGTGGTATAACAATTATCTAATTAAATTCAATTTGATCAGCAAATATCTCTTTCAAATATGCAATGAAATATAGGATGTTCCATTTGAAAAAAATTGACATTCTCACACCCCCACACATATGGAATAGAGATATAATGTTTGAAGGGCATCCCTCAAAAGACAACATCTGATTCAAGATTTTGTGTTGAAGTTTCCAATATCTCATTTAGTTTTCGAGATATTGAGTATTGAAAGCGTGAAATCCCTATTCAATCACCCATATATTTGTTGTTTTATTCATTCAGTCAGAAATATATTGAAAATTACAAATTCAAATATCAATGAGGCGGATATAATTTGAGACCCATGAAATAAGGCAATGGAATTTATTAGTAATTGATGCATATAAATAAAATTTGCAAAAATCAATAATCCATCTTGGAATTATTTATTATAATACATTATCTTTGTAATGGTTTATTTCTACCATAGTTCCTATAATCCGTCTGCAGCACAGCATAATTTATTTGAGTCTCATTTCTCCACCTATTTTGCTGTTGATGAGCTATTCAGCACCAACCTGTGCAAATGTCATGCCATTCATCACATATGAATAGTGGGAGAGCTGAAGCTGAATTCGAAACCAGAACTAAAATTGATGAATCTCTTGACGCCACAGGCACTGATCCTGGATGATTCTGATTCGTCATATAGTATACATATAGTATACAGTATGGTCATTTAAGTGGGCAACATATGGGAATCTTTTCAATGAATTGCACAACCAAAATACAGATAGTGCCGAAAGTTGGTGCATCTTTGGTGATCATTTTAGGTGCTTTTAGAATAGTTGCAAGTCAAACAGCATACAGGGTAGGTAAAATAAAAATTGCTCAAGAGTAAAGTACCCTCATTTCACAACATTCAGCAAAATGTTGTTGAGAGAAGTTCTCTACAATTGAAATATATGCCTAAACACCAAAGTATGGCCTCCTAAGACATTCTTTAGTTTTTAATTTTTTTTCCTTAATAATTTCCCAATTTGTATTTTTTTTATATTCACTCTAAACACTTTCATAAGTTACCTAATCATAACCAGAACAGTTGATCATACCTCTGTTCAAATTCAAGCATATTTTTGCAATTAACTCGGGTTTGAATTTTTTTAGGGAATCACAAACTTTATTTTTGTTACAAAGATATTCAGCTTAACTTTTTCTAATTTCGCAAACCATATTTTCAACAAGGTAGAACATCATTAATGATATTCAAAAACTTCCATGTAATGTGAACATTTTGAATTATTTGAAATGTTTATGACAAAGCTGTACAAATTAATTGACAACCATGATATCTTTTAAAATAATCACGGATACCCAAGGTAGGTTTTATTTATGTTCTGGTTCCTACGAAAAGGGATATTCTGTGATGTTCAGAGAACATCGTGAGAACCAAAGGAAATAAGGGAGGTATTGGTGTTCTTCTTAAATTTCTGGAGGTTATATGCCTCGGGGAACACCTCCCTTGGGAATGTGTTCCAGAGCCTCGCTGGTCGTTGGATGAACGAGTCTTTGGAAAGAGATATTCTGCAGGTCTCCAAAGTGACCACTCTTTATCTAATGATGTTTTACCTTGTTAAAAATATGGTTTTTCGAAATTTTAAAATTGAGCTGAATATCGTTGCAACAAACTTATAGTTTGGGATTCCCTAAAAAAATGAAATCCAAGTTAATTTCACAAATATGTTCGAATTTGAACAACAGTATGCTCAACTGATTTTGTTATGATTAACCTATGTAAGTGTTTAGGGTGAATATAAAAAAAATTACAAATTGGGAAGTTATTAACGAAAAAAATTTAAAAACCAAAATATGTCTTAGGAGGCCAACTTTTGGTATTTAGTCATGACTTTCAATTGTAAGCAATTAAACTGGAGTTGTTATAATTACCGAGGTATTTCTTTATTCTCATCAACTGGATTTGGCAAATTTTGTGAGTTGATGGTAACGAATGGTATTTGCCAGGGGTAAATTTATCTGGCGCCTACTTATACGAGAATTCTTCTTAATGATTTTTCCTCTTATCGAACCTCCATATCTCCTCTGTAGCGAGCGGCAAACTACCCGTCTGTCATCTGACAGCCGGTTTATGCGACTATAGTTTTACTGACGTTGAGGTAGGTCGCATCTTTATAATGCATTACAAAATATCAGGAATTCAAAAGAGAGCATTCAAAATTATTGTTTTCTATGACTAAGTAAATAGTCAATATTTAATAAGTAAGAAAATCAATAAGTATCGAGAAAATGCCAAATGTCTGGTATAGCCTCCTACCTTCGAGAGATGTTATTTAGAACATTATGAACTATAGTAAACAGTTTGCACAAAATTTGAGTTGTTATATAGCTATGTGTGTAATTATATCCACTATGTGCATAATAAGCGGTAGAACTCTTGTTATGTATACAGTCTTCTATTGAATGTTGCACTGTTTTCGTCCGGTTTCTGAATGCTCACACATTTTATTAAAACGAGTAACTCAAATATACATCGTTTTTGATATTTGCTACATTGTAGCGCCCGACAGTATTTTAGTTGAATCTCCATAAGTGAGAGTCCGCAATAGAGCGTTCAGAGAGAAAAAAATGTCTTCCCCATCTGTCCTTATCTTCTTGACAACACTGGAAATGATAAGAAATGGAGAAGAAGGATATTCTAACCTTTTTTATATTATGGTCAATATGATCTTCACAATTTTTTCTCATTTTCAATGCTACCAACATAACATTTTCATTATTTTACGTTGGAACACTGAAGACAAAGACAGATGGGAAAGACACAATTTTTTCTCTCTCAACTCTAGGTGAACTGCCTATTCGGGAAATTATGACAACGGCCACTGCGATGCTACGGTGAATTATAAAAACCTTTTAAATATGTGACAGAATATAGGTAATTCGTGTTCTTAGCGTCCGCCATATCAGTTTAAGAACAAAACAGGGCATTACTGGATTCCGAATTCAGGAGAATCATCTAACAAATTTTACATTTGTTCCAGTTGTAGTTTTTTTTCAAATTATCGAATTTTATCAACATCCAGAGATCTGATGAAAAATGGCAGAGTTAAGTCCACAGACATATCTATCTATCTAGACCGCTAATTGGCATATCCCATCAACTCGAAAATTTCGGGTGAATTGCTTGCCTCAGAACGCTTCTGCTCAATGCACAGGAAGTACCAAACTGCTGTTCAAAAAGTATCGATTGAGTATATATGACAAGTCCTGAATGCGCATGATTCGTGATCGCCAGTTTGATCGTGAGTGGCATAGCTCCTTTCTTAAGTACGCTTCTTTTTATGGTCTTAGCGGTCACTATAGTAGTTTATGTCAGTGGTTAAGTCTTGCTGCGTTTTTCCATATATTGTTTCTATAATTCATTTTAATGCACGTATCAACTTTTATAGACGACAATCACAAAAACTGTTAAACTGAATTAATTGGTGATATTTTCAGTACTGATCACAAACTTTATATTGGAGGATCTGTCCAGCTTTACATGGATGTATCTCCTGAATTTGTAGTAACATCTCGTTCAGCAAATGGCAGCTGGCTCACAGGTTATGGAATCAAATCAAGCATCGCCACTGTCCAAGCATCGTTAGATGGAGTTTACCATGAAAAAACCGGCAAAATAAAGTTTGATAAGCCTGTAACAGCTAAGGGAGAGCTGTTGATATATCCCAGAATAACTATTACTCCATCAGAAATTATATTACCGTGGGATCCTATAATCAGACCAAAGTAAGTTACTATCAGTATAAATGATTTAAATTCACTCTTCCTGTACACACTCGATTGGAAATGTTTTCTACTATAGTGGAATACACACTTTTGACACTTTCAAAGAAGTTCATGCAAAATCAAATCAAGCTGAAATTCGAAAGATTCTCACAAATTGAAATCCAATTTTCTTCAATGGAGAAATATTTGTAGAAAACACACAGGAGCCTGAAATGATAGTTGCCTACTCTAAGTGAAATAGCATTTTGAAGCTTGGATCCCATAATTCAGATAATCCCTTCATGTCTGCATCAAATATTGTGTCTGACCTGGAACAAACGTTCAGATATAATGAAATACACTTTGTTTTGATTGAGGTCAAGTATTGCTCTCATTTGTTATTTAAAAATATTCATGGATATCTATGTCAACACTGTCAGGTATCCAATGAGGGTATTGATATTTTTTTAAAAAATTGAGTGACTTCATTATTTCTTTGAAACAATTTTTTTTATAAATGAAAGGTCGACTGTGATACATCCCCATTGCTTTCAATGGGTGATTTTAAGTAGTATCATTAAAAGAAAACAATTCAAAAAAATGTTTGAATACCTCATTTAATTAATAATGGATTGTAGATTAAATGAATAACTATTGTCACACTGTATCAGCTCAAAAATTGAATTATCAATTTTGAGTGTTCTATTTTCTTTAATCCATTCTATTCTACAGAATCTACTCTGAATCATTGGTAATTACTACTATGTAAATTTAAGTTAATGTCTTCATCCCTACTTGAGAGAGGTTGAATGTGTTTGTATGTTTCTCTAGATATGATGTTGATTTGGTTGCCAAAGGGGGCGATGGGAGATTCTTATGGTCGAGCAGTGACCACAATATAGGAATGGTAAGCCAAACTGGGCATGTGAGAACGCATTCCAATGGTTTCTTTGAAGTGTCGGCCGTGATGTTGCGTAATCACCATAACCGCCAATCCGCCAAATTCATCATATTACCCCCATCCCATCTAGAAATCGTTGAATTCGTCATGGAAGCTGAAGTTGGGTCTCCGGTTTATTTACACATTGCTCTCTATGCTGAACAAGAAAAAGACGGTACCACTATACAATTGCCTTTCACTAAGTGTCAGGCTTTACCTTTTCATATCAAGCAGTCCGATACGAAGTTTAGACAGAACAAGACTGCCATATTATCTCCAATTGGAATATCTTGTGGAAACATCGCAATGACCGCCTTGGATGTTGGAACGAGCAAGGTAAGAAGAATTTTGACTTAGAGTATCAAAATGTATGAAAAAGTCGAGAACTTTACTAAAAAGCCTCTCCTAGAACTTAGTTAATATTACACATTGAGTAACCTTTATTGACTATCAATTACACAAAAATTCATTGAGTGTAAGGTGTTTTTTTGAAAAATGTGGCTAGTCGGAGCCTATTCTTGAAGTTTTGGAATATATGGGATTTTCCAAAACTGAAGTGATATTAAAGTAGGTGACAGAACATAAAAAAACACTCTTAATTATTCTCCATTTAAATAATTCTCTTCTATATATCATGTTACCCTTCAGTTCTTACATTATTCACAATATTTTCCGAATAATAATAATAATAATGAATGCTCTTTATTGATTATGAATTACAACCAAAAGGCCATCGACCGAGGTCCTGCAGCCAGTAAATTTCAACATACATGGTATCTCAATAATGTTATGCATAACAATTTGAATTACAAAAATATTTTGCTCTCGGATATTCTTTTTTGCATACAGATTTTGAAGTGGTACTTGAAATTTAGTTTATTGTCCAGGTGGACTTTTTCTGAAACGTTCGACCTGTCTGATCGATATATACCTTAGGACAAGTTCCACGTTTAAGTTTGTATACCCCTGATTCTTCGAATTTAGAAGTTTTGTCTTAGGTCACAGTGTTAGTGGGGTTGATCTCATGATTGGCTATCGTCACCGTTGGGGAATTATTCTTTATAACATGATTGAGTAGCATTAGCTGACATTTCTGAGGATTTAGTTTAAGTCTCCAATCGTAAAGCCAATTCACGGCATTGTCGATGTAGTTTAGTAAACGTGCCGTTGAGCTTTCTGAGGTTCTATCATTTGATATTAGGGCTCTGTCATCCGCGTATTGTATGGTGTAACATTTGGTGGGGTGCTCTTGCTGTTGGGGAAAATCATAACAGTAAATATTGTAAAGCATCGGTGATAAAGGATGGGACTTCGAACCATTTATTGAGCTTCCTTTCTTCTAGGAAACTTTCAATAATAATAATGAGGTTAACTGGCACTTCTGGAAGCATCATTTTATGAAGCAGTCCTTCATGCCATACACTGTCGCATGCCTTTTTGATAGCCATGAAGCATGCAGCTGTTTTATGGTTGTTGAGTTTTTTTGATTGGACATTCGAAACAAGTATGGTTAGTGAATGTATTGTTGACCTTAGATTTCGAAAGTCAAACTGAAAGTTAGGAATTTTGTCATCTATTGCCACTGCAATTTTCTGTTTGATGATTTTTTCTAGTAATTTTCCTAATATCGGTAGTAATGTGATCGGTCAATAGTTTACAACATTCATTCGATATAAGTTTATTTCATAGCTCATCTTTATTACATTCCAAGGCAGTAGGTCCTCACCAGGAGCTATATTTTTTTGTGCAGCTAGTATTTCGAAATTTATTTGTTCATTTATTCCCTCTTCTTCATTATTCCGTGGGCTAGTAAAATACTCGATATACCACACATATACTTATCTCATTCATTTTATGTAGACTAAAGTCGAGATCATTAGTTATTTTATAATGTGTTTCGCAAGTATCCTCAAATAAATTTGGCTTGTCCTCGTCTGCATAGTATTCTGTTCCATTGTCTTCTTATATTTTGAGACTTGTCTTACTTCCTTGTAAAAATATTTGCCTTGTGCCTTGCCATGTTTGAAGCCAAGTGTGCTCTTTGTAAATGTCCTTTCATAATATATGGGGGTAATTCGTGGATAAAATATGATGTTTTCGAAACAGGGGTATATTTGATTACTGTTGAGCTCAATTTGTTATTGAATTCTGAGATTTTAGTTTCTATTATATAATTATTCCGAATCTGTTCTAGATATACTTCCATTTCTGTATTGATGCGTTCCACATCACTTTTTTGACACTGTATTTTGGAGAAAGAGGCTCACTATCGTAGAAATGTTTGTATTCATATTAATAGAATAGAATAGAATAGAATAGAATTTATTTCTCGAATACACACATATTATATACAACTATAGTTAATTTTTTTTTCAATGGAAGATTTTCATGCATGCTGGAGCTCATGTGTGAGCTATTGAGAAGAGCAGTTCATTTTTAGTTTGTTTTTACACAATTATAATAAGCAATTACACAAATTGTAATGATAATAATAAAAAGAAATAAGATGGTGAAACATATTCGCAATATTTGAAAAATGCATCTAAGCTTACATATAAGTAAAGAATTACATATTGATACTGTAAGAATGAGTTAAAAATGTATAATATGTTAATATTGTATTGATATAGGGATACAAAGAAATATATACAAAATAATTCACAAGTTTATAAGTATAACAGTCAAGCGATTTATAAGTGGGCATTGAAGAATTGATTGGTATCGTAATAAACGTGGGTCTGAAAAAATTGTTTGACTTTATTTTTAAAAATATTTAGTGAAACTATTTCTGTTATTGAGGACGGTAGGTGGTTGAATGTTTTTGTTGCCATATATATATATATATATAATGAGGATTGACCCGATGATGTCCGGTAATAGCTCAATGTTCGAGATATTATTGGCTAAATAATCAGTATAAATTACAGCATCTTGCGTGAAAACTTCGTAATTAGTCATAAAGTAAGTAGGAGGCGTTTCTCCTCGAACAAAATTAGAGTTTTGCATAAAGTTGTACATAAATTGTCTTCGTTTGGTTTGACTGCTTAGGTTGAAATCTCCTAGCACAATTGCATATTTGAATCTATGTGCCGTATAGAAAATTGTATCTACTATATTAGATGTTGCGTGGCAATTCACCAGAATGATATGTACCTCCTCTTGTTGAAAGGGAGTTGCGAAGTGCTGAGCGTCATTCAAGGGGTTATTAATTTTTGGGGCGTTCAGTTTACGCATTCTCAATGCTGGATGAATCTGCACAAGACTACCTCCTCTAATGTTTTGATTAACTATGGTGCCATCGTGACATAATATATCCCAATTTCTGTAATTGCGTCTGCTTCCGGTTTTGTTTTGCTCTAAACGAATATCTAACAGTTTATATCGTGCCGTTCGATTGTGTTGTTTATTAAATACTTTTTTGGGCTGTAGCTGTTCACATAAATGTAATCGTGCGTACCTATGGAGGATAGGGAGAGGAGGTAGGTGTCAAGTTTGTGCGCGAACTTGAACGTTTTTTTTTTTTCAGAATAATTCCTGATGCTGAATCATAATCATATACATTCGACATCCATATTGAAACATGAGAATGTAAATCCAATTATATTCTGTATTCATGATTTTTTTTTAAATTTCTCTAAGGGATCTTAAACTTGTGCAGGAATAGTTTGCGTCTTGTTGTTGGAGTTGTAGGCAGCTGTTTCTTGGAAAGTGGCAATTTTACTTAGATTTTGTAGTTTTTTTAGAACGTTAATTGAAATAATTTTAGGATGCCCTATTATTAGGTATTACTTCTTCCCAAATATCCGCTATTCGCAATTTTCTCAGTGGCTGAACCAATATTTAAATAATGATAACTAAGGCAAATTTTGCTAGTCAGTTCTTCCTTTTTCTTTGTAAAATTCTTGGTTCTCTTAGAGTTGGTATTTGGCTATTTGTTGTAGAAATTACTAGTTTTTGTTGTTCTGCGGATGACTGACCTTTCCTGTTTTTTTTTTAGAGCGATCAGAGTTAATCTGTGCTTTGGCTACTTTTTTATGAAACATTATTATCGGAGTGTTTATTGCTGCTGTTTTTATACACTGCAGGTTCCTTGTTTGTTGGAATTTCTATGATTTTTGGACTTGATGGTTTTCGTTTGTTTTAGTTATTACCGAATATATCAGTTGTATCCATGTGATTGTCTTAATTATCAAATTCTGGGAAATCCTTCATTTATTCGAACCACTGGAACTTTTTCCACTCATTAAACATGCTCATTACAAGTTGACACGTGAGAATGATCTCGAATAATACGTCTATTCTCTTTGGGAGCTGTTTCCCGAATATTATTCGTCTTTTTCACATACAGTATCCACTTGCAGTTTTGATACTCTGTATGTATAGGGTTTCACACTATAATTCGAGTATATTATCAATTATTTTTGTTTATCAGGTTACTGTAACTTACTTTCAAGATGGCAAGGCCCTCGAAGACTCTGTAACTCTCAGTGCATACAAATCTTTAGTGCGCCTCGAACCCAAACGTGAAGTTGTTCTTTCTATTGGAACTTCGATTAATTTGGTGTTCGCCGGTGGCCCGAGACCAGTCTTAGGAAGAATGGGGGATCATCAAAGGATAGTCGTCAGTGAAGACGAGACTATTGCCAAAGCTTCGGATGTAACACAGTTCTACACCTTGCCTGGCGAAGATTACACCATAGTCCAAGTTTTTTGTAATAAGCTTGGTGAGACCGATATCAAGTTGATGATTTCGAATACCCCTACTGTGTCAAACTGTAAAACGCAGACGAGTAGTATCACTACTAGAGTAACGTGTGGGAAACCAAGGAGAATAACATTGCAGCCCGAATTGAGAATCGCTGATAGTGTTGCTTGCCCTATGGATTTGAGTTCGGGTAATGTCATCGTACAGAGCACCAGAAATATTGATATTGACGTTACAGTTTATGATGACAGTGGTAACAGATTCTTGAATTTCACCAGCCTGAATTTGGACTGGAGAATAACTCCAGCAGGGAGCGGAGTTTTGTTGAACAAAGATGGCGTTTTTCCCAAAAACTTGACGGTAGGAGATGTTCCAGTAGGCCATAGATTCACACAAGTAGTTGAACCCTCATTGGATAAGGGTAGCTTGGTGATCAATGTTACAGTGAAAGGTTATAAAGAGAGGCTACTGAAGAGTTATTATATTGTTCATGAGCAGCCAGAATTTATGTCTGAAGAAGATCATGATGAGTTGCCACCAATTTCTGCGTCTTTATCTCTCTATTTAGTAGAAGATACAATCATTTCACCTAATCTAGTGACGATTTTTAACCATCCTGGAAACAAAATATCCGTTCCTGTCAAGCAGGGTTCAGGTTATTTCGAAATAGCTCTAAGTGCTGACGAAGTCGCTTTGATCAAATACATAGAAACGTCGCATGAGATTGAAATTATACCTGTTAGATCTGGAGAATTAACCGTACAGCTTATTGACTTGTGTCTGGTATCACGTCCAGCTACGTTGATAATCAACGTAGTGTCTGTGGGCATCATTCGAGTTGAAATGCCGGATAAGGTAGAGATAGGAAAATGTATCCCAGCTATTGTCCGGTTGTACGATGAAAACGATAATTTGATGGATATTCCTGAGCCTGGTATGATTGATTTGAGACCTGAAATGGAAAATAAGATCGGAAATATACAGAGGGCTGAAAATGACCCTACCAAACCGTGGGGAGTCGGTGAAATCCATTACATTATCACGGGTGAGTAAAATTATTTCGAGTAGGTAGCAGAGTTATTATATTTTAATATATTTTGAAATTATAGGGATTCTCATTCGTGCGCTCCGAGACAAAAAAAATTACCTGCTTTGTTTCCATATCAATGTTTATTTCTTCTTTTGTGGCGCATTTGAATGTATGTTCACACCATACTTTTTAGATTTTCAGTATTTTTTTATCTGCTGTTATCAAATATATGGAGAACTAGAAGGAGCATGATTTTGTAGGAACGGTAGAAAGAACATGGAGAATCCAACTAAAATATATTCATTGTTGTGAATCTTCCGGTTTTTCCGGAAGTGACATGATCTTTGTTATTTTCAATAGGAATTGTTTTTGGGTTATTCAAGTATTCACAGAAAAAGTAACAAATGCAGCCTATCAAACACGCCATTTTCATGTGAATTACAATTCTTTGTGATATGCAGTGATTGACTCATGAATATTGAAGGTTGACTGGATCTCTCACCATACTGAATAAATTACAGGGCGCGCAGAAAACTGAATTCAGATAGTGAATGTGAAACATTGAAAATCTTAATTTTTTCAAATGGAAACCTAATAATGTTCTCTTTTCATTTGTGAACAACAATCAATGAACACTTTCCTAGTTACTTCCGGAGACCACCCTGAAATGTGTATTCGTCATCTCTCAACTCAATACTTCTTTATGTTTATATGATGTCTCTAATTACAAGATGTAACTCCTTTATACAGAATACAAAAGAGATGAATATGGTCGACATACACGATATATTTTTATCAATAACTATCGAGTTAATCACCCATTGCTTACTCAATTTTCAACACTTAATGACAATCGTTGCTGTTGTGAATTCATTAATAATGTTAGTACGATTGAGTAACATTGTGACCCATCGTTCTGTTAAATTCAAATAGGTAGGTAGTATTGGTTCTTAAAAAGTACAGCACAATACTACTATTTGTAAAGTACTCGTAAATTCAAAAGAATCACTTTTTGGTTCTCATAATTTCAATTCTATTTCTACAAATACAGAGAAAAATGAGAATCAATGGTTTTCCAATCTCAACTGTGAGTGACAATGCAAGAATTCAATTTGAATTCACGGGTTATTTGAATAGAGTACAGACCAATGGAACATGGATATGAAATAATATGATTTATTTCACTGAAAGGTCAATGAAATTTATATCCAGCATCGTTCAACATTTTCACAATGAGAAATATTAAAATGTGATATAATTTGCTCATCAATCAATTCTGTAATTTTTTCTCAATAAGTTCTTGATGACATAGAGATCTTCAATTTTGCTATATAAACCATCCTGTTTCCGAAGTTTTTTTTCAACTCCCGCACATAACGGCTATCACCCCCACTCACATGATTGCAGTACTTCGGTTTATATGTGAGTAAATATACTATTATTGAACACAGAGTGATGCGTGCATAAAAAATAGTTGAATAAGTTGCATCAACATGACCGTTTACTGATTTCTTTCATTGTTTAACCAAATGAAGACAATGAAGTAATAACTGAAAGGAGTTGAAGCTTTCATTAAATCCTTTATGTATATATAATTTTTTCAGGAGTCGAACTTGGTGATACCAAGCTGGTATTTACTGTTAGTGGGAGCGATGAAGATGTGACTAGTGCTCCGTTAGACTTACAAGTTTTTGAACCTCTCAGACTATCTCCGAGAAACGGTTCAATTCTGATTGGTTCCATAATACAATTGATGATTAAAGGTGGACCAAGGCCTGATACAAATATCGTTTTTACTTCGTCTCCAGCAAAAGTTGCCGGTAAGCTCCCCAACAAGTTTATTTAATATTATGAATATAATTTTATTTTTATAGAAGTGACAGAAGGCGGACTGGTAAAAGGAAAATCACTTGGTACAACTAGAATTTTCGCTCAAGCAAGAGGAATTCATCCTTCTACTGGTCAGAGTGTGATTTATTCAGAGGTATGTACAAAAATATGTTTAATAAAATATGAACTGCTGATTAATAATAACCACATCAAGCACATTTTTGGACGAAATTCAACCTTGAAAATGTTTGCGAAAATTCCAGATATTTGGATGCGTTGTTTTTATTATAAAGATAAATTCATTGGGTATATAACAGTTAGACCGTTGATTAAATTACATGGTGACATCTGACTATATATGGTGACATCTGACTATACATGGTGACATCTGACTATACATGGTGACATATGACTAAACATGGTGACAAACAAATGCTTCCAATTTGATGGAAAATTTCCGGAATTTTTTCCAATTGTATTTTCATAATGCTCAAGCATATTCCTTGAAATGGTTTTGCAATTTGTTTGTTATCTCTTCAGGTATTGAAAAAAATTGAGTTTTTCGAAAAATATGATATTCATATTCAAAGAAACTTGGAGAGTTTATAAATTCATTTGATCCATCAACTATGACTCCATACTTATCATCGGGACGTTGCTTAGTATATACAAGGTGTATATATACAATATATGAGATTAGTTAGAAATCATTGATGATATCACGTAAATTTGTAAACTCCCCAAGTTTTATTGAATACAAATTCCATCAATCTTGGTATATCACCCTGTATAACCTCAAGGGAAATGCTTGTCTTTCAATTTCGAACAATTCACAAGTTGATATACGAGGTGATACATAATAATCTAATTCAATCCAATTGAACATTTTATTTCTCGTTTGAAATTTCAGAGAACATATCAAATACTGAATATTGAAATAAATACTTCTTCTTCATTGAAGTGGTGATCACCATCCAATAATAAACACATTTTAAATCGTGCATTCTGAAAGGGCGAGATTGATGAGCAATGAACTTTGATAGTTAATTAAAAATTCGACCCAAAACGAATACTCAAAATCCTACCTGGTATGGACTGCGATGGCTTCCGAAGTCATGAATCTCGGATGTTCGGGCGGCCGCCACTTGCAAAATACACAGTTTCCCGGTGTAATTTCGCCGACGCAACACTGAGAAACACCACTGTTACGTATTGCACATACGAGGATGAGTTACATAAAGTTCGCACCACAAATTCGATTATTTTTGTTCGGGAGCGAGAGTTTTCACGTGTTCTCTCTGCTATCGATAATTTTAGAGAGAGAGAAGATTGAGTTTCTTTCGGTAATTGTCGGATAGTATTCGGACGGATCATCGCACGTTTCTCGATAGGACAGACAAGCAGTCGTTTTGGGTAACGCGCGAAAATACGAATCAAATATTTCATTAGACTTTAAATATTAAGAGTGCATTAAATTCGTTTATCTTAATAAAAAATAAAAAGAGAATCGAACATACCGCTCACCTAAAATGGAACATTTTAAAGGAATCAAACTAACACAAAAAGACAAAACTAAAAGTTATTAATATTAAAAATATCATGAGATTTGAGGAAGTGGGCAGACCTTGGAAACAGGCCGCTTGAACGAACCTTTTGCGGTCTTCACCGTAACGACGCGTACTACTGAATTGCTTCCAGGATGTACGGATTCAATTCGGCCTATTTTCCATTTCAAAGGCGGATTTGTTTCGTCCTTTAGGAGTACCATTGTACCAATAACTATGGGAGTAGATGGATCTGTCCACTTGTTTCGTTGCAAGAGTGTATGCAAATATTCTTTGTGCCACCTGGCCCAGAAATCTTGCTGAAATCTCTGTACCAGTTGCCACCTGTCGAGACGTCCTATATTTACTCCAGTGAGGTCGGGATCGGGAAGACAATTCAAGGGCTCCAGAGTGAGAAAATGGCCTGGCGTGAGGACAGCATAATCATGAGGGTCTGAGCTCATGGGGCATAAGGGTCGAGAGTTCAACACCGCCTCAATCTGAACTAAAACGGTGTAGAACTCTTCGAATGTGCGGACTTGAATACCTATAACTCTGATAAGATGATTTTTCACCGCCTTGACGCCACTTTCCCATAATCCTCCAAAATTAGGACTGCTGGGGGGATTGAAAATGAATTCTGGTCTTTCTGCGGGATTTGCGTCTTTCATTAAAGTTTCTATTTGTTTCGCAGCGCCTATAAAATTAGTGCCACAATCAGAGTAAATATAATTGCACCTGCCTCGTCGGGAGATGAATCTTCGATATGCAGCTATAAAAGCATCTGAAGTGAGAGAGGATACTAGTTCCAGATGTATGCATTTGGTTGCCATACAAACGAATAAACAAATGTACGATTTGACCGTGGAGGAGCCTCGTACTTTTCCTAATCTTGTTGAAAAAGGGCCAGCCATATCAACGCCTGTATGGCTGAATGGCTTGACTTGAGAAACCCGAATGGATGGGAGATTGCCCATAATGGGTTGATAAGAAGTAGGTTTGACACGAAAACATTTAAAACACTTTGAGATAACTTTTCGAATTGAGTTTTTCGCGGAAAGAATCCAATATCTCTGTGAAAGTAAATAGTGTAGAGTCTGGATGCCTGGATGAAGGTATAAAGTATGGGTATGCTCGATTATAAGTTCGGTGAGTCTATGAGTTCCTGGTAAGAGAAGGGGATGTTTTTGTTTATAGGACAATGACGAATTGACAAGGCGTCCGCCCACCCTCAACATCCCGGATTCATCAAGAAAAGGGGTTAATTTTCTGAGATACTTGGGAAGTGGTTTGTTTTTTTTTTCAAAAGGGATATCTCTGTGGAAAATACCTTAGTTTGCACGAGTCTAATAAGTGCAGTTAAGGCATATTCTGATTCAAAAATTGAAAAATGGTCAGTAGCGCGCAATCTTCGATTTTTAGAGTAGGATCTGAAACGGAAAATATACGAGACGATTCGTTGAATTTTGAGAATACTAGAATGCCGTCCAATCAAATCGGAACACGCATCTACCTCTGTTTCAACAGTAAAGACCGATTTGCGTTTTTCCTCGTCACACTCCGGAAAATCAATCTTACGTTCAGGCTAGGTACTAGCAGGAGAGCTCAGCCATGTAGGCCCCGCCCACCATAGAGAATTCCTGAGCAAATCACGAGGGAGAAGACCTCTTGAGGCTGGGTCGGCAGGATTATCTGATGAGCTGATGTGATGCCAATGAAGTGGAGATATTTTTTCTTGAATTTGAGTAATGCGATTACAAATAAAAGTAGCGTACTTATGAGGAGAATTTTTGATCCAAGATAACGCTATGGAAGAGTCAGACCATGCGAATATATTATTGATTTCTATAACATTTTTATAAATGCCTTGCACATAAAACATCAAGTCTGCTAGTAACAGGGCTGCGCAAAGCTCAAGCCGGGGAATGGAAATTTTCTTGAGGGGTGCCACTTTGGACTTGGCACATATCAAGTTAACATGAATACTTTTATCATTACTGAGAGTTCGAATATATAATACAGCGGCGTAACCATTTTCAGAGGCGTCACAAAATCCATGAATTTCACAGCATTTTAGGGGAATTTTCAATATTTGCCGAGGTATTTTGAGCTCAGACAAATCGGAGAGTTGTGATTTGAACTGAGACCATATATTAGCAATTTCTACGGGAGGTGGGCTATCCCAGTCAATACCGGCACACCAGAGGCGTTGAATGAGAACTTTGAGATAGAGAGTTAATGGAATAAGAAATCCCAATGGATCGTACACCCTCGCAAGATCCGAGAGCATGGATCTTTTGGTGCATGCTTTATCTTGAGCTATGATATTGTACGAGAAAATGTCGAGTGAAGCATTCCAGTGTAGTCCTAGAATCTTTATAGTCGATTCAGTATCTTTATCGAGAGATAGTGGATCAAATTGAAGACTAGACAGTGGAAAACGGTTTAGAAGAGAGGGGTGATTGCTCGCCCATTTCCTCAATTCGAAACTACCCTTTTTCAACAATTCAATTAGCTCATTCTGTATTTTGAGAGCTTGTGGAAGAGAGTTTGTTCCAGACACAACATCATCAACAAAAAAATCTTTGTGTAATAACTGGCTGGCAAGAGGATACTCGTTTTTGTGATCCTGAGCCAATTGAAGTAACGTACGAATCGCCAAAAAAGGGGAAGAATTCACGCCATATGTAACTGTTTTCAATTTGAAATCAGTTATGGGATCCATTTTAGAAAATCTCCAGACTATTCTCTGAAAATCTCTGTGGCTATTCGTAAGGGAAATTTGCCGATACATCTGCTTTATGTCCGCTGTAAATACAACAGAATATGAACGAAATCTCAACAATATCGAGACAATGTCTTGTTGGAGTTTCGGACCAGTGAGCAAAGTATCATTGAGAGAGGTACCATTTCGAGTTTTTGCGGACGCATCGAACACCACCCTCAGTTTAGTCGTTAAGCTATCGGGCTTCACCACACAATGGTGAGGAATATAATATGTCTGAGGATGTGGAGAAGTGTCCGAAACAGGTTCCATGTGACCTGCTGTTAAATAATCGTGCATAAACTCACAGTATTGTGCATACAATGATTGTGATTGGAGTAGTCGACGTTCTAACGCGAAAAATCGTCTCAGTGCGATATCGCGAGATCCTTCAAAGAAAGGTTCTGTAGCTCGAAACGGAAGTGAGACCTCATATCTGCCAGATTTCAATCGACTTACAGTGTTAGTATACATGGTTTCAGCCTGTGAATCTTCAGGAGATATAGGAGTCACCACCGGCACTTGTTCGAGCTCCCAGAATCTTGAGATAGAATTTTCCAAGGCCAATTCGGATGAGGAACAAAAAAATGAATTAGTAACAATGTCAGAAGGAGGCGTTAAAGAGGAATAATTAATTTTTCCTAAAATCACCCAACCAAAAACAGTCTCGATTGCGACAGGTTCATTGGTAGAGCTAGAGAGTGTACTACCCTTGAGAATCAATCCGTAAATTTCTGCACCTAATAACATGTCGATTGGAGCGGAAATATTATATTTGGGATCAGCTAGTTCCAAATGTGAGAACTGAAGTAGTTGATCTGAGGAAATATTTGCTGAGGGCATATC